CATTTTTACTACATATACATTGTATATGAATAAAATGCTTCAAATTTTGTTATTACAGACATAATAATTCGACTCAATTAAGGCACTAGAATTTAGAGTTAATTAAGATGGCTATCGATTGTGCAGGATTGTAAAGATATCATCATTAGTCTTATTCTAGAACCAATGAAATATATATTTTTTTTAATTCTCAAATTGCAACTTCCATATATATAAGTGAAATCACCAATGAAAATATGAAAATGGCTCAAAGGAAAATGTTGATCCATACTCCATGGTCCGTACAACAGTACTCAACTTGTATATATTTACCACAGAGATTAATTAGTTCACTTATCTTATTATAAAATAAATGGTGAGGAATTTGGACAACAAATCAAATGTATATTACATTAATTTGAGTGCAGCAAGAGATGCGACCTGTTGATCACGTAATCACCTTCTAGGAGGGTGGGAATTAGATAGGTTGCCAGAATTCAAGTACCCATATTCTCATTTTTTTTGCATTAATCTAAGGGGTTTATTTCCTCTCTTAGACCAAAGAAATAAAGAAAACTAAACTCTATTTGAGAGAATAATATATACAGCAAGTGCAATATATTTGACTTTGCTCTTTTTTCTTTTTTCTTTTTTGTTCTAACAGCTTTTATTGAAGACCTAACAACTTTACTAGTAGTAAACAGATGGGTGCGGGCAAGTTGAAGTTAAAAACATTTGGTTGAAAAATATCCACACAAAAAACAAAGTCTGCAGCAAACTGCAGTCATGAAAATCACCTTGAAATAGCATCAAATTAAGTTGGGGATTCATAATCTCTAGATAAAACTTTGATTTTTTTTCTTAGGCTACATCATTAACCCTGAATCATGAGAGTGGAAAAGAGTAGAGTCAATGATTCTTGTTTGGTGCCTTTCCATTCCATCTTTGGGGACAAATGCAAAGGAAAGGTTTGTAGCCTTCCTTTATTTTCAAGTGGAATCTTCCTACAAAAGTGCTTGTCATTACTTGTTTGACTTTGGAAGTTGCCCACTTCATCAACAACCAAGTAAATGCAATTAGAAAATTAATTAAATGGGTCGTTTGCTTCTAGCTACTGTTGTTAGTCCTTGGAACTGTAGATTATTTACATGCAACTCACGAAAAGCAATACAGACGGTAAATTAATTACATCATGGAGATAATGAAACTTGTTTACCATAATTAATTAATTAATTCCAAACCTCTTCATTTGTTTTTTTACGGGGCAGTTATTTTCATGATTGTAAATTGTACAAATAACGATAATTAGGGTAATATGAAGCTGGAATGGCTATCAATATCATTGATTACTGGTATGTTAATTCTTGGGCAAGCTCCTATCAGCAAGCATGAGGTGTCCGAGTTTGAGTAACCCTTTTCGGGGAAATTGGAGCAACCAAGAGAGGGAACGCGCATGGGTTTGCCCTGTGGCCCCTGGATTGAGACTTAACCGACGACAAATGCGCGATGAGTGATAATTAGAGAACCTATTTTTTTGAACTTCTTGTAATATCCATGGCCTGTGACTACAGTATATTCCCACCGACATGTATAACTCACGAGTTACAGCACAATATGATCACTTTGATAATCAGTATCAAAAAATTCTTAATTATTTCATGTGATCATAGAAAACATCTTTTACTTTTTTATGATCTAGAGGGATTTCCGTGTTCCAACTCATAATTTCCGTGAAAATGGCTTAAGCAATGGCTTAAACTTTCCTTCAGGAACTGATCAATTATTCTTGGGACGAAACTTCCCCAGTATGACACCAGCAGGGAATGCGTCCAAAGTGCAGCCATTTAATATTTCAGTGGCAAGCTCTTGGATTCAACTGGGTAATTCACAGCAAATTAAGCGCGTTGTGCAATGTGTGCATCCAACCTGAACTAGCTAGAAATTTATTCAATTCACACCTGAAACAAACAACGACAGAAACTTCCCTTCATGGGACTCCTTCGAGAAATTCCTTGGCCACTAAAGAACTTCCATATGTTCAAAGCATATGAAGGGGAGGGATATTTAGGACGGGGCAGAAAATTTCCCAGAACCAGAACTAAAAACAGCGCAGTGGAACACAACAAGCATGATAAAATTAACTTTCCAAATTGATATGGACAAATTCTAATTGCATGCGTTAAGCAATTACCAATTCATCAATAGGCCGTCAAACTGTTTGACTTACGGAAAAAGTTCTTTTGTTGCTCCTTCATGAATTCTGCACAGGATTGTTTATCATGGAGGAAGAGAAGGAGGTATATAGGGAATGGCATTTTGACAAAAAAGGAAAAAAAAAGATTACAACAACAAAGAGATGCAAAACAGAAGAGAATTCAACTTACGTTATACAAGGTGGAGTAGCTGTGTAACCAATGAAAATAGAGATAAAAGAGGAGGTTCTCTTTGACATGCAAGCAAGCGTTTGGATCATATCTATATATATCCATCCCTAAAATGTCATTGTTAAGTTTATCCTGTAGAAACACAAGAATACACGCAATCCCTTTACGACTTGTCCGAACAAGCATGGAAGTTGCTCATCTGTAAAAAAGAACACTGTAACTACTGCCTAGCTAGAAAAAGAATGACCGACCAAATTACCATATCCTTAAGTGTCTTGTTCTTGTCAATCTAAAACTGACCAAGAAGACAAATCCATGCACACATACCACAGGTGCCTGGCAATGGCGTAATATCTTCATACTAATAAAAAATTCTTCTCCAATGGTTATAGTAATTCGCCAATAATTTCAACAATATTATCAAAATAATTTGAAAATGACTTATCAAATAAAAATTCCCGTATTCATGATGAACGAAATATCTCTTTACATGAAATATTACACCCAACAATTTGCAAATATATTTGTTTATAGCTTGAAATTGAGTCATTAGTGAAAGTTTGAACCAGCCTGGATGTGCCATGCAGCCCAGCTCTACACTTGAGCCTATCCCTTTTCTACCAATCTGACTAAACTTTAGTTTCGCATTGCAATTGCCTTCTAAGATTGTGATTTAGATGCGATTGTAATTAAACTGATTTAAAAATTTTTACCTAACTACGTAGGTTTAATTGCAATTGTGGAGTCCAACTATAAATCTATAATAATATCAAATTATGCCTGAATATATGTTCTGCCAAATTTTCTTTCATGCTTTACATTACCTTGTTCATATATATCATTCCCAAATGTCTATTTGAAATAATTTCAATGTCAATGATTATGAGATCCCAAATTGATCCTACCCTAGTGTTATCATGAGATGGGAGATAGCAGTTGTGAGATGGTGACGGAGCAATGGTCGATGAATGTGATGTGTCGCATTGATGCACCCAAGTTATATAATGGAGTATGTACAAGGTTGAAGCTATTGCCAGTGAAAAAAAATGGTCTGCCCTGTCGGTTATTTTTCACCCATCTTTCTGCTGGGGCCAAAAACCCATATGATGAAGATGTACAGGGTACGTAGTAGATCAAAGAGTACTTAAATTTAATGCTCACCGCTCTGCCTCAGCACTGGACATGCTATAATTCAATGTGGTCTTGTTCACGCCGGCTCCAGTGCCTATCCAGTTTGAATTGGTCTAACTATACTGAAGAGACACGATCTTAATGTGCCCCAAGTGCTTTTACTTTCGCATCTGAAAGAAAGGCGATCACTTCCTTTTTGCCTATGCTGCAGATTTATTACTAAATTGTCATGAAAAAAAAAAAATCTTGATTTAACTCTTTAACGCTGGAACAACGAACATTTGATCAAAGGTAAAACTAGCTAAAATTTTTAAGTACATCGATTGAACTGCATAACGGTACTGCATAATGATTCATTAAAATTTTTTAAAAAATTTATTCACTAATAAAATAATATCATTTAATTCATTTCATTAATAAAATAATATTATTTAATTTATTAAAAATATATAAAATTTTTACATACAAAAAATTCAAATATAAACTTTTTCATTTGATTTATGCTTTTCCACGGCTAATTTTTCTCGTGAACCCCACAAAGACAAAAAGAGGCTAATTTTCAAACAAAAATAACGTGTAAAAATGTGTTTTTTGTCCACATGAACGAATGGAAGAGGCAGTCACTACGACTAGGACTGGGTCTACCAAACCCTAACAAAACGGCATTTACTCCCCATGTATAGAAAACTCCTTCCTCAATGGATGGTTAGTTTCCTGCCCATTTCCCACCCTTCATTTCCATCAGACATTTCAACAAAAAGATCCCAAATTAAAGGTAAGTTAAACCCGGCAAAGTTGACATTATAATGGATTAACTAATTTTCATGCCTGTTATTATTTTACTTCGTTTATAATCTTTAATATGATGGCAAATTAAAATTAAACTGATACTTTAGGATTTTAATTGCATTAAAAAAACCTACAATTACAGGTAATAGATCATATGTAAATGTTGATCTGAAACCACAGAGAATTTAAGCTTATAAAATAAATTAAAAATTAAAAAAAATTTACAATTACATAACAGTAACAAAAACCAATGTTAAGAGAATTCTAATAGGTTTTTTTGGTGTTGACATGTGGACAAAACATGTAGCACGTAAAGATTTCGTTTGTTCTGCTGTGGCTGTCATTTGATTCTATGTCACAGCCAGCGATTTTAGCCTCGTATACTCATTTTCTTCGTAGATGACACATTGTTGTTTCATATCCTACCTCGTCGTTGCAACAAACCCAGCAGTTTTCTTGACTTGTCCAAGCAAAGCCACCGGTTTATTTTGGTAACCTCCTTTTAATTCCTGAAATACCCTTTTAATTTTACAAAAGTAACCAATTTTTTCCGCGAGGGGAAAGGAAGGGCAGTTTTGGAATTGTATATTAAGAAATAGTAACGGAATAAAATAAATACAGAAACGGGGAAAGTCTCGCATGTTACATGTCGCTCTTTCTCCCTTCATGCATACTCTTTTATTAAATTGAGAAAATAAATTCATTTGTTATTTTTTATTCTAAATTTTGGAAAAACTTGTTGGATATTTGTATATATCTATCGGTTGAATGCTTGTCACCAACTCCTTTTTTTAGCTTTCACTCTGTTTTTATGCTTCTTTGAAACTCTCTCCCTCAAGGGAAAGACAGTGCCCAGAATTCAGAGCCTTTCAGACATAGATAAACATCTAGCTTTGTCTTTGCTCTGTTCGTTGAACTCTGTTTCTTTGGTTTTTTGGTAATGGAGAAACATAAGTGTAAGCTATGCTTGAAAAGCTTCGCAAATGGAAGAGCTTTGGGTGGTCATATGAGGTCTCACATGTTGAATCTTCCAATTCCTCCGAAAGTTGAAGAAAAAGAACGACCGAAAGTGGCACCGAAGCAACTCAGAGAAGAGTCTGAGGCAGCTTCAGCTTCAGCATCATATTTGTCATCTTCATCGGAAGAAGAAGGGGAAGAAAAAGGTCAGTTTTATGGGCTTAGAGAGAATCCAAAGAGAAGTATTCGCTTGGTAGATCCTGAATTTGTTGATGCTGGCTCCGTTGTTCTTCAAGACAGAGAAAGTGAGACTGAGTCGTCTAAGAACCCAACTCGGAGACGATCTAAACGGGCTTGGAAAATTCTAGAGCATCACCAATATCATCAACAACAACAGCAAAGACAAGAACAACAAGAAGACACAAAGAAGCTTAAAGTTAACACCAAACAACTGTGTATGACTGAGTCTTGGGCTGAACCTGAAACGGTGAGTTCGATCTCTGACACTACAACTGAAGAAGATGTCGCTTTCTGTCTTATGATGCTTTCAAGGGACCAAATGAAAAGCAAAGCACGTCAAGATGAAGAAGAAGAAGAAACAGAAATAGAAAAGTCTATGGAAGAAACAGATGAATCAGAAGAGTACTTCAAATTAAGCAAGGTTAATCGAACAACTCGAGGTAAGTACAGATGTGAAACCTGCAACAAAGTTTTTAAGTCGTACCAAGCACTGGGTGGACACAGAGCGAGTCACAAAAAGATCAAAGCTCACTCGCCAGCAACTCATGAAACAGAGTTGGAACCAGAAAACATGGGTACTTGTTCTATGACAGAAAAGAAAAGACATGAATGTCCTGTTTGTTTTAGAGTCTTCTCATCTGGACAAGCCCTTGGTGGACATAAAAGATCTCATGTAACTGGTCAAGTTGTAGCAACAACCCAAACCCATGATAAAAGTTCCAAAAAGTTGGGAGATAACTTGATAGATCTTAATCTTCCTGCTCCAATGGATGAAGATGATGTTAGCCAAATTGAACTTTCCGCGGTCTCTGATGCTGAATTTGTCAACCACATCAAGTAATAAACAATTTTTTTTCGTGGTTCACAACAATGTTAGATCCGAAGGTAGACAATTTTGGTTGCTTTTATCTATATTTGGGATCTTTGATTTTTGCCAGTTTGCTTTGTCAAATTTATGCTATAATACTTTCTACTCTGTTCTAACTGTAATTCTTTTCTCTGAATTGTCTTTAAAGATCTGTTTGTAACAACTGATCGTTTAGAATCTCTCATGAATGCTTTTGTTTATTTCACTGTTGGATTAGAGCTTCTGGGTTCCTTTTTTTTTGTTGAAGAAGCAACAGGCAATGTTTGTTCATGGATTCTAAATCAAAACTTCCTACTTTTCTAACTAATTGTTTTACTTCAAAACAATGGTCTTTTTTCTCTCTTTCTCAGTGTAAGAAAAGTCATTCTCAAACAAACAAAAGACTATTTTTTTCATTTAATAAAAAATTGGCTTCCGTTTGTCGCTACTGCCGTATTTACAAATTCATCAGGAATTCTCTGTTAGCAGTTAGTATCTGCTTCTGTTTCATTTCCTTTCACAGCATTTAGGTGCCTGCTTCTTTATCTGTGTTTTCCGTATGAACTGTTTCATGCTTTACCCACAAATCTGCTGAACCAGAAGATTAGGAAAGAGACAATATTTGATGACTTTTACAGCCTTGAGGTTGAATCTGATTTACATTATATACATTTCCATTATTCCATAATGTAGGAAAAGGTGATAAGAAAAATAAAAATCGAAAAAGCAAAACCTCTGTTTTTTACTGAGAGAGTAACGTGTCTGGCTAAAGCAAAGTATCCTACTGACCCAGAATCAGTGGAAAAATATACAGAAAGTTCATTAAATTTGTAATAAATGTAAATAACTTTAAACTCTTTTAACAATGTACTTATTTTCATTTAAATGATCATTATTTTATGTACTATAATTACAATGGGGTAGGCTGCCCATGCCTCCAACTCCAAGTAATTCCAACCCAAGGCAGTTAGAACTGCTTTATCTTCGCGTTAAATGAAAAATAAAACAGATCAGGGTGCTTGAATGGCAAAGTAGCTGCCCCTTTGGAAATTAGTGAGATTTAAGAGAGTTAGGGCTAGGCTGACAATGAGCTATATATCTTTCAGGCATAACAGATGATGGTGAACCTGACAGATGACACAGCAAAATCATAGCCATGGGAAAATGTCAGATGGCATGCAATCGATTCTGATAACTTGACACATAGAAAGAGCATGACTCCGTTTGATTTTGCTTTTATACAAATTTATACGTAAGCCAATATAAATTTGAGATACATAAACTTCTTAATCTTTTTTTCAAACTGAAGAAAAAGACATGACCGCCAACTCCTAATGCAGGAGGATATGGCTGATCCGCTCCAAATTGCATGAATTTAAGCATGAAAAGAATGGCATTTGGCTAGTGGAGCTTCCCAAATGCCAAAGAGCCAAAAGCCATCTTTCGTGCTTCGTGTATATATTATATATATTCTCTCGTGATCAGTCTGTCGTTGATTTATTCAATGCCAAAGTAGAATATCTTCATATTCAATTTATTTACACGCAATTAAAAAAAAAAAAGAATAATTCACGCTTCTGAACTTTTCATAGCCTTCCCAGTTGTTAGTTTTATATAAACAAGGTTAGATTGGCCGCCTTAATTCTACGATCATCGGATCCAATATATATAATAATAAGCTAAAGTAAACATTTCTCAGTCAGAAAATTTAATTGTCAGTTTGTTTCATTTAGTAAAATATTTGGTCATTCAATTAACATTATTATTGGTCAGCTTTATATTATCACTGGCAAAAAAAAAAAAGATTCATATTATCATATATATATATATATATATATATATAGAGAGAGAGAGAGAGAGAGAGAGAGAGAGAGAGAGAGAGAGAGAGAGACTAAGAGGGATAGAAGATTGTGGAATATACATATATATATATATGTACATATATGCAATATTAATTTGGAATTATAATCTGTGATGGCCAAAAAATTGTAATTACTTCTTTTTAAAGGAAAGATTTTGCTTTGGAGATTATAATTAAACAATTAAAATATTGTAATTAAAGCTATAACAAGAGAATACTTAGGCTTATGTCACAAGTATGATTAAACAATGAAAATACTGTAATTATGGATGAATCTCTTACAATATATATTAAATATAAAAAAAAATGTGATAACCATAAATTCCATCAAGTATTTTTAGATGGTAATGTAATATTCCCATGATCAAATCAATAATTTTTTTTGAAATAAAAGTCAATAATTTCATACTTAGCATTCTTTTATATTATGCCACGTTATATTCCCATATACTTATTCATCTTTATAATTAAACTTACTGCCTTACCCTTGAGAAAATAAAATTATAAACAAAAAAGGAAAAGGTTCGGGGGAGAATTAATAGCTAAATTACATGAAAAATCAATAATTAAAAGGAATAATATTACCTTTTTTCTTTTTTATTGCTGTTATGGTTTGGGAATATACTCATGCCTTGTTTTATTTCTTCCATTATTTTCCTTTTTTAGTTTTCTTTTTTTTTTTTCCTTCTATAGACATTTAGGGATCAAATTGGTTGATATTATAAGGCAACTGGGTTTTTAATTTTGGAAGTTCCACTCAAAGGCCATTTAAAAGGGGGATTGATACCATTTTCCTGAGAGTTTCACAACCATCCATGCAAAAAAAAACTTAGTTTCTCAACGATGTATATTAATACTTATTCTTCAACTATTTTATGATACTTATCTCTAATTCTGACCTAACACATCATAATGCTGTAGGAATAGCAATGGCATGACAGCTTGAGTTGGTTGGCTGGCCGAGGCTGGCTTTTATAGTTGAGAATTAAGATGTGGGTCGGCCCTTGCTTACCATTCAAAGGATTAAAAACAATAATGATAAAAGGTTGAGAGAAATGGGGTTTAACAGTTGCAAGCTAAAGGGTTGTGTTGTGTGCTGTGTGACTTGACAAAGCCACCTCTTAATTTGCCGGCTTATGACTTGAAAAAGCCCATCAAAATAAACAAAGTCAACAATGCTGATTTTCTTTTCCACTAGTCTTTTTCTTCTTCAAAGTTCTAATAAACGATACTTCATCATCATTGAAAACCACTTTGTAGCCTTTTAGCTCCTAATAGTACTCCTAGACTACTGCAGAGATCATAGTGATTTACATATATATCACTATCATTTTTTTAATTCCAAGTGCCTAGTAATTTACACAAAGCTATAAAATGAAAGCCTTTCCGAGATCTAGCGAGTCTACCACTGAACTTGGCGTGATTGCCGCTGCGTGCCTGTTAGTGTTGTCTTTGGTGTTATAAATATTGTTACTGTCAGAGAGTGACCAAGGCTTTAGCTTAACTTTACGAGTAGGGGGCTCAAATTCCGTCTCCTATGAAAACTCATTAAGCTCAATAGGAGAGTGAAGCATTTCTTTTTTAAGATAGTATTACATGTAAATTTGGTGTAATCTAATTTCTCTCTTCTCTTGCCCTTAATCAAAGGTGGCAGCCTTTCTTATCGCGTTGGTAATTTAGGTGTTTGATTTGGATTCAAAGACACCAAGTGCATGAACTTGGAGAATTATGACTCCGGCAGTTGCCACAAGTTATTATTAATAACAAATCAATTGCAATTCAGCTCAATGGTCAATCCTTTTATGCTAATGGAAAGTTGAAAGTTTAAACAGGGGTCTCTATCTTGATGTATGGAGCTCCATTTCCTGGTACAGGAAAGGTAAGGCAGGCTGAAATCTTTGATGAATTTATACCAATGAGAAAAAATTAACATGCAGTAATTGCTCAGTAACATGAAGCATTAATAACTGTCCCTGTTTGGTTGATAAAACTAGTGCCAAATCTAGGAGTTATCATGCTGTCATATTTTTGGCCACCAACATTGCCACTATAAACCAAGCAAAAAAAGTCAGACAGATACACTTTCATTTGTCTGTGATGGTGTACATTACACAATATCTTAACAAAACCTTAATAACTTTGATTTTGGTCGCCATTAACATTTCTTTTATTAGACCAACATTTTGATCAGTAACTCAACTGCCAAACCAAACGAAAACCACACTTTCACAACCCCAAATCTCACCAGCCAAAGTTAAAATGAAAAACAAAAAAAAGACTAGAAGTAATATACGTTTTCATTGGGAATTGTGGTGGAAAAAGCTCTACAGTTTTCTTCATTTTGTTCTTTTTTTTTTAGCTGGCAGGCAAAGTATTAACATTGCAATGCGAGGCTTGTGATGTAACCAGACAGTGGCTTGTCACTCACTCGAATGTGATCCAATAACGACAGCCTATCCTCCAACCCTTTTTGTGGGATTCAATCTTCCACACATTTCTGTTTCCTTTCCTCCCTTTTGAGTTATCTTTAATTTGTAAACTGTATGTTATATCTATAATTTTCTGGTTACACAGAAGAATTATTCTTTTATGGACAATTTTCTTTGGTTCACGCTACAAACATCATGATTTCATGCCCCTTCCCACAAGTCATACTAAAACACTCAAAGGTCTCACACTACCAAAGCAGTGGTTGTGTCTCACATGTGATCTCCATCCTGTTCACAAAAAAAAAGAAGACACATTAGAGAGAAGATGCTCAATTTGACCCCAAATTGCATGCCTTCTTTTTTGTCTTTTGAATTCACTTCCATATTCCCATATTGTATCATGAAATCATCCATTAACCCTGGATCAAGCAAAGGCACGCGTTGGGTTTGCAGTACGATAAATGAGAAACCTGTGACCAGTACAAAGTAACTTATGTTGCGGTCTAGCTAGAGACTCTTCGCCTTGGGATCTGCTCTTTTGGCTGCTGGTTTCAAGCTTCACTGTTGTTTATGTTGTTACTTGACATCAGTTCCCTCTTAGAAACTTCATTAGGCTTTTGATTATGTAAAATTCTGCTTGTTTCCGCGGAGAAAATTGACAATCCCTGAGGGTCAAGCATGTATTTTCAATGAACCCAAAAGAAAAAAGAAAAGAAAAGGGAAAAGAGTTTTTGGACGACGAATGAAACTTACAGATTCTTTGAGGTTAAGTTTACAAATTAAAAAGTGTTTAGTTTGCTTCGTTATTCTTCATTAATCCTTTTGAAAATCGATTTGAAAACAATTCAAATGTATTTTAAGAGATACCCTTTGCTTCCTCATCAAATCATGGAGATAGAGAAGGCAAAAAAAGCATATATGCATCTTTTCCTACACGCTAGGTTCCATTACATAGCAAACTCTTGACTCATTTTGTGATTCTACATCGATCCCCTTAACTCTTGCTTTTAATTTTTCTTCATGTCTTATTAAAACGTCGGCCGCAGAGATAACCAGATATCACTACCCTTGAAATTGATTGGAAATTGGACTTTACTGTAGAAATGATACAAGGAAGAAACTCCACTGACTGCTGACTTTCGCGTGGTGATCTTGTCATTTCCTCTAGTAGTCTTGTTCAGAAAAAAACAAAAGGGCGCAAAGCTTAGTAATCACTTCTTTGGGAGTGTCTTATGGAATTGTTAACTTCGAAGATGTAATTTCTTGGTGAAGAAAAAGTAAGATCAATTGTTTTTTCTTTATTTCAAACTACTTGTGCTGTAAACCAGAAATATTTGCATATATACTTTTCAAAATGACAAATTTTCTTGTTAAAAGGTTGCAATGCACTGAAGTAGTGGGTCGAAATGTCCCGTTTAGTGGGGTTCCTTGCTTCCTGTAAAGCTTTGAAAAGCTCAGCACAACACAATTAGTTTCCATTTTTTCCTATTAATTCCACAATGAGAAGCTATTGTGGATAAAGCAGAGGTGAAATGTTTCTGAAAATTCACTGGCACTGGTAAATCTTGCTTACTCATTACGCAATGGACTTTGACGTTAGGCTACCGACTAGCCCTCTAAACAATTAAAACCCCCGCCTGGCTCTTGATTTTGTTACCAACTTGCTTCAGGATTACATGAAATCAACCAACATGCTTGCTTTACTGATTTTAACTCTTTATCAATATGTTTTTCTGGTTCATGTGGTAGAGATTGCAAATACCAGTCAAAGCTACTGCTCACGAGCATATGATGAACAGGATATCGAAGAACATTATTCCAAGTATTAGGTTCAGAATATGGAAAAATTAAACTATGATTGATTTCAAGGAGAGAGAAAGCCATGGCTGCTCAAACCAAGGTTTGGTCAACAACAATTTCAGAACATGTGAATATATTAATTAATTTCAAATAAAAAAATGCCTAGCTTCAATGAATGATAAAATTGAAGCCATATTGCTATCAGAGGCAAAATCAGCAAAATCATGGAGGGTTCGAAATATCGAATCAAATCGCAAAGCAAGGGCTAAGTTTTACATTAAAGGAACTGTGTTAAAAACTATAATATAATAAAAATTTTTGTTATGACATTTTAATTTCATATAATATATAAATAAAAATTTAAATTCATGTTTATAAAATATTTTTTATGAAATAAAATTCTAAGATATTTAAATTAAAATAAATAATATTCCGTAAGTTAGCAACTAGCATGTTAGATTTGTCTTTGATTGCTATAATCTGTTTTATTCATTAAGGAAATCTTGCCAATGAGTATTATAATCATCTTTAATTAGAATCTAAATTAAAATTTAATCTCGAGTCATATTTATTGATAATTTTTTCATCATGATTGTAATTTTTATTTATTTTTATAATCACATAAAAGATTAAATAATTTTTATAACATAATATATAATTTAGGTGAAACTCTCTAGTAAACTTCCTGAACTTTTTTATTAAAATAGAAAAATAATTGATAATACACTATTAAATAAATTTAAATAAATTATTTTTCTATTCCAAGAGTCTCCTAGTTTTCCACTTCAATATATTAAATTACTATAACATTTTCCATACGAAGAAAAAGGGATATAACTGGAATTGAGTTATATATATATACACGTACTACAAGTTTCTAATTTATAATTAATTTTCATTTTAAACAAATTTTAAAAAGAATCCCAAAAGTTTAGATTGCATCAGTTGGGCGATGAAGCTCTAGCGGGACACCTTCTGCGCTTAAAAGTGAATCCTTCGCCCATGACGATGTAGCCCATTTGTCGTAATATGGAAAGCTAAGAAGCCCATTTTCATGAGTTAGGATTGGGCCGGAGTCCAATCATTTATAGAGATTAAAAAAAAAAGGTTTTAATTATTTTTATAACAGTTCTTTTTATTGAACATATATCTTTAAACCACTTGTAAAATTAATTAGTTTTAATGTTTTTTTTTTTTTTTTTTATGTTCATGCGATTGCTTGCCATGAGTTTTATGTTGAAATCAATTTTTAAGTGCAACCTTTAAACTAATCATTAGTTTTTTTTGTTAGGCATAAAGATGAAAAAAAGTTTTTTAAATAAAAATTTAATAATCATTTAAATTTTTAATATTTTTTATAATTAATCAAATTCTGAATTTTTTTAATTAATTAAACGTTTAAACATTTATATTCATTTATTTAATTTTTAAATATTTATTTTCATATAATTAAATTTTTATTAGACAAAAACAATTAACTATTTTTTCCTTTAACAAAATTCAAATGGTAAAAATAAATATTCAAAATTTGAATTAATTGAAAAAATGATAGAAAATAAGATAATTATAAATTTTTATTTTTTTACATTTTTCCTTTTTATTATATTTTTTGTCAAATCTAAAAATAATTATAGCATAATGAAAATATGAGAAAGATAGATGCTTCTGTTGCCTTGATCTAAATTTATTTTTAGATTTTTATTGGGTAAAATTTGTGAAATTTTTTATAAAAAATAATTAAATCAAAAAATCAAAATCGATAAATTAAAAAATTATATTATATAAATTAAGTAAGAAAAATTAAAAAAATTTTAATATACTTTTTTAAATAAATATTTTTAGTAAAAATGTTGACATATTTTTTATTGTTGAATAAATATCATCAAATTTATATTATAAACTACATTTTAAATATTTTTCACATATATTTATTTTTGCATTTAACTCTATCATTCTATCAATTTATATTATTACTAAATTTTTTATCAAATTATTTCTAATTAAAAATTTCATAAATTTCACCTTATAAACTTTATCTAAGTTATACCCTACAGCATATAATAATCCCAATAAGGACTGGGTGAATCTTGCTAAAAAAAAAAAAGTGACTTGACAAATGCATAATAATACAATTTTTTAAGGGACTTCCTCGTCAATTAAGAAGCCTCAGGGACACAAATGTAATTTCTCAAAAAAAGTTACAAGCGATCCTGGCCCTCCGTCCTAAATTCTCCGGACATCCTTCTTTTTCCTCAGGTGGAGATTTTATTCTCTATTTTTGGTTGAAAGAAAAGGAGTGGAAGAGCAATGGAATACACGGCGGAGCAGCAACGGTACCAACAGCAATACCAATATCAGCAGCAGGCATATGAATATGATCCTTCTCAACACGATCAATCAGCCGCCTACTACGCCTACGCCAATCAACAACAACAACAGCAATACCAGTATTACCCTCCTCAGGAATCTTATTCCCAACAATACCCCCAGTTTTATCAAGAAGCCGCTCCCATTCACCCACCCGGCGTCCCCTTGGACCACCACAATCAGGCCACCGTTTTTTATCCTCCGCAGTCTGCTGTGGAGCCTCAATATCAGCAGGTAATTGCGGCATCGGGTTCGGATTCCGCCACTGCGGCGGCGAATTTTGTGGGGAATATTGATATAGTTCAGAGGGATAATCCGCCTCCTCAGGTTAGGGTTGTTTTGTATGGGTACATCTGCTTATATTTTCTTCTATGCGCCATAAATCTTGAACATTAATTTTAAATTATCTGATTTTTTTTTCTTAAAAATTGGTAATTGCCCAAAATGTTAAAATTGCTTCAGATTGCAAAGTTTTAAATTTGATTTTCATAGAAGAATAAGATTCGTTATTGGTGGTCCAAACTGGCCCATATTGGGATTGGAAATTGTTTTTAAATTGGATATGCAAAGACATCGTAAGAATCACAGTTTGAAACATGCTTTTCATTCTGAAACTTGTTCTCCGATGAATTACCAATGTTTGTTGGTTGATTCAATGTCTTGAGATGGTGTTAAGATTTGGATTGTGTCAAAACAAGTTGCCTGGACTTGGCTCAGTTTAGCACATGCCCAGTTTCTAAGTTAAAATGAGCCTAGCTTAAGCAACTAATATGATCTTGCTAAAATCTTTGCTGTATTGAATTCGTGTTTGTTTGTCTGTAGAATACCAATGCTAGATTTGACTGGGCCTAGATTGCTTCTTGTTTAAAAGCCTTGGTATTTTATAGCAAATTAAGGGAATTGTACAGCAAAGACTGCTTGTTAGAGGAGCTGGGCTTATCCCAATCGAGTTTAGCTCAAAGAAGATTTTGGAGTGAACCACTTCTTGTTGCGTTTCTGAGGAGCTTTAGGATCTTACTGCTTGGCTTGGTTGGCTTGGCTCAAATATTTACATACTGATTAGAGATTTATTAATAACAGTCTTTATGCTAGGTTGAAGGTTATGTTTTTGCTTGGCTGCCATAATAATGATATCATTTATGTTGGAGTAAGTGTCATGTCATGCTCCATCGGGCTTGTATGGAATGTCCATTGGTCAACAGAGCTTATAGGTACTGAATTCTTGGCACTCATCCCCCTTACTTGCAAGATATTAGAAGATAAAACAGTTTAATTAGTCACAAATCCCTAAAGCAACCAGATGAAGACAGTGATATCTAACATAGAAGTTTGCTATAACTTGTGGCTTTACTTTGGGTTCCATGTTATGGATGACTAGTGATAGTTCTTCACTGGTTGCTTTAGGGCTCATGTGGCCTGAGAGCACCCTTTGCTAATGTGCTCTGTTGAATCAAGTGATATCTTTCTTTCCCAATCTTTTCTGCGATCTAAAAACTTCATTATTTTGTTAATCAGCATTGTTGGGTTTGATTGCTATCATTTGGTTTAGTTTGTGTCTCGTAATTGTAATTATACTCAACAATATCTTTGCTTTTTCTGTGACTTAACTGTGTGGCAATTTTCAACTGAGTCATTTGGCACCCACACAGTTAAGGATGCAGCAGTTATCTTGTTTTTTTTTCCTCCTCTGGTTAACATCCGCAATATTGTAAGGCAATTGTTTTCTGATGCACTGTTTTAATTTCTTTAGTTTTCATGTTGGACTTAGGTGAGCTTTGAATCCATGCAGTGTTTTAAATTCAGAGTTCTCAAGGATTGCTAGATCACTTTCTGTCTTCGTACCGACCAAACTTTAGATGGGGAAGCATTTTGAGAATCTTTGGTGTAGATTTTTTGGTAGGTCTTTCCTTTTTCTTATTTCCCCCTCTCTCCCCCAAGATTCCCTAATCATTGAAGAAACGATAATTCAACCATAGGGAATGCCATTTCTTATTTATACGACTTTATCTCCATAGTAAGGTCCCATCAGTTCTAAGTAACTATAGCTTTTTATGCCTAAGTAGTTTAATTTACGGGTTATGCTATCTCAATGCTTTACAAAAGGGATGTTACACAATGGTGCAAACACTTATGAGTCTTAGTTTTAAATTTCTTAAATCTAGTTATGCCTTGAGAAAGCAGCTGAATTTTGTCATTTTAAAAAATTATATTCCCAAGATCACTGGAGGACTTAAATTCTTGAACCATATTTATATTTTACTTTGAAGAATTTTTCCTGTCCCCTTTAAACAGAAGTGTCATACTTTTATACATTAGCTATTAATCAATTTCTTCTCACTGATAGTCTGAATATCACACATGTTTACTCAATCTTAGAAACACTAGAAAGGGATTGAAATTTTTTGTTTTTTGTTGTTTGATGATAGATCTGGAAAGAATAGGACTTCATTGTTTAAGATCTATTTTTTGTTGTTTAATGATAAATCTGGAAAGAATAGGACTTCATTGTTTAAGATCTAGTGTGCAGTGCTACAAAATTACTTGTGGAAGTCTCAAGCTATGCTACAACTTTGAACAGCATACTCTTTCTTCTTCTTCTTTGTGACCACCTTGAAATATTTGCTTCTTTGTATATGACTGCATTTTTGTTTATTTAAACTGTGTAGACCCTTTTATGCATGATTTCTCAGAGTTTTTTCTTGGGTAAACATTCTTTCAAATATAGTTGTAGTTAATTCAAATTCTTTGTTCAAATTGGAGCCTTAATTTTTCAGCTTATTCATGGACTCATATTCTATAAGCTTAATATGATTACTGTGTGTGTTTAACAATTGGATTTTTTTCTTCTTGTGCTGTTTGTTTTTTTATATTGTTCACAATTTACTGCCCCCTGAGTTTTAAGCTTGTCATCTGTGTGATTACTTATATATAAGATATTTTTTCTTCTTGTGCTGTTTTTTTTTTCTTAATATTGTTCACAATTTACTGCCCCGAGTTTTAAGCTTGTCATCTGTCTGATTACTTATATATAAGATCAATTCATCTGCATGTTTCCACAACTTGTAGGTCTATATTCTCGTATGTTGCTAAGGCTGTGTGCTTAGTTTTAATTTACGTTTCTTTGTTGAGAATGTATTTAACATTATTATTTTTATTTTAATTTGATCTTGCAGTATTTAGTAACTGTGTGATTTCATGTTCCACCTCATCTGTGAATCTATTCTACAGATGCAAACTGCATATAGGGGTGGAAGAAGGGGTGGTAGGCCTTTTAGAGGGGGCAGCCGGGGTCATGTTGGTAACCGTGGCCTCAGACCAGATGGCACTGCACCTCCTCGTAATAGAGGTCATGGCCACAGTGGCAGCAGGCACTTTGCTTCAAATGGTGTGACATCATCGTTTTCAAATTCTGTATTGGATCCAAGCAGTGCAGCTGCTGTAATGCCACCTTCAGCATTAGTTCCTGGTCAATCAACAGTAGCAGCTCAGGTACCTGCTGCTCCACTCTTGCCACCTCCACGTATGGCTTGGTGTGAACTTTGCAGGGTTGATTGCAACAGACCAGAAATCCTGGAGCAGCATAAGAATGGAAAGCGACATAAGAAAAACTTGCAGGCACATGAAGAGATGCAGAAGCTGAACAAAGTCATAACTGGACAACAAAGTGTGCAAGTTCCCAATTCGGGATCAGAAGTTGTTAAATTGAAGAAAGTTGAGGCATCTGAGGAAAAACAACAACAGGAAACTTCACCCTCCTTGGCTGCCACTAATGACAATAAGAAAGAAACTGAGAAGCAGAAAGACATAGTGAATAAGTCTGAGGTGTCTACTACTGATCCTGTAGAAGCTAAAATGAAATTAAAGGATCCCTCTGAAGCTAGGGGACGTGGTTTCAAGCGTAAGATGAGAGGGGGACGAGGGAGTAAATATATGAAATGCAATGAAGGACCTAGGAGACCAGTTGAGCCTCCCAAACCAAAGGGGGGTATTCCTTTTATGTGTGAGTTGTGCAACGTCAAGTGTGAATCTCAAGTGGTTTTTAACAGCCATTTGGCCGGTAAAAAGCACGTTGCAAATCTGAAGAGGTTTCATGGGCACCAGGCTTTATACGGAGAAGCAGGGCTTCAAGCACTTTATCCTCCTAATTTTAATGCTTCATCATCTTCCTTCATCCCTCAAATTCAACAAGGCCTTACTGACCCACAAGTTGTTTTAGCTCAGCTGTTAACTTATGTCCTTAGTCAAGCCCAGGTCCCTGGGTTAGCAGCCCCTCAGTTATCTCTACCAGCAGCAACATTGGCACCAGCACAAATACCATTATCAAGTTCGGATAACCAGTATCCCCATATGTTTACTCAAGGTTCATTAGCCACATCAGAAATGAGGGAAGTGACCATGAAGGCAGAAGCTGAAACTGGGCAGCATTATAGTGCGGCAAAGTCTGAAGCCTCGCCATTTGCGGGAAATAACAAAGCAGAGAGTCAAACTTCAGAATCTGAAAAGAATGACATGAGTCGGCAACAATCTTTCACTGCTAAGTTTGAAGTTCCACCTACAGCAGGAAGTGATGTAAAGGTGGGGAATGGAGCGTTAGATTTGGAAAATAAGGCAGTCATGCCTCCCATGGATAACCCTACTTGTGCAACGTCGGAATATCTGGCCATTGGAGACAAGCCATTTCTGTCATCAACATCAGAGTGTAAAACAGTCTCCTTGGACCCAGTTGATGAGTCAGGATCAAACAACGATTCGGAGGAACCAGAGGAGGATCCAGAAGAGGAAGTAGAGGATGATTCGGGGGAGCAAAATAAATAGCCAATTGAGTTGTGCAAAATACTGTTAGTCTCTCCACATTTGCCCCTTTTAATGTGACAACAATTTGTTGGTTCAAGTATTCTTATTTATAATTAAAATGGTAGACCTCATCTTGAATTTATAAATAATAACTTGTTACTTGAAAATTCTTATTTTTTTAATAAATTTGAATGCAAGGAAATGAAATAAATATGTAATAATTATTATAAAGTTTGCTATATTAAAAAGGAATATATTAGGAATAATATTAAGTTTATTATTAGTAAAGAAATATGAAAATTTCATTTTACCTTTTCAATAGAAATATTAGTAATTTGGTTTTTGTGAAAAAAAAAAAAAAAAAGGTATGGCCAATACTAACGATGTATTCAAAAAAATTTTCTGAAACAGTATTATTGGAAAAAATTAAAGGAGGAATCTGTAGTAAAAAATGTACTGACAATTTATTCGATAAATAATAGAAAAAACATATTTCTCAATTTTATATGTTTTTTCTTTTTTTCTCATTTCCTGATTTTTCTTTTCCCTTCTCTTATTCATTCTCTCCAACCACTGTTGTGGCAATTTGTGCCACTGCAATGACCATATCTTGTCACCCACAAGATGATCTGCCGATACTAGCAACCAGCTATGATAGTCGATGCTGTACCCAAAGCTTCAGCAACCAGATATCGCCATCCCCAAGGACGCAGCAAACATAGTTTCGCCTTTGATCGTCGAAAATGACGTTGCCCTTGGTCGCTTTGTCGGAGTTCTTTTTATGGAGAAAACTGGGGAAAATTCAACTTGGAACACTAGAAATGTAAGCAAATATGGTCAATGTCCTGTGGGTGTCGTAGGGATATGGTTTGAGTTTTGACAAATTTATCAAGGGTAATTATGGAAAAAAGAAATAGCCATTCCCATGGATTTGGTTTTTAATCGAAACATAAAGACATGGTCAAAATAAAAAGGGTGTTCAGCTTTAGAACTCGAAGCTCTATCCGTTATATCTTTAGCTCTAATGTGTTCACCGCAGCTGCAATCACAGCCATTTTTTATTCTGTCTAGAGCCAACTCTTATCCAACCTTCTCTAAATCCTCATCATCTTTTCCCTGTTTCTCAACTTCAACCCGTATTTACAATCTAAAAACCAGTACTTTGTCTGTTCAAGGATTTCCCCCTAATGCCCTTCGCCGTAAGAGCAATCCCCAATGGAGAGGAGGGTTCAGTCTAGGCGTAGACTTGGGATTGTCCCGCACCGGCCTTGCCCTTAGCAAAGGTTTCTGTGTTCGTCCACTCACGGTATTCTATTACGACGGCAAAAAAAAACCCGGCTTTATATTTGGTTCATTTTACCATTTCAAACGTTTTCATTTTTCATGTTGTTATTGTTATTTTTTACTATCATTCTAGGTTTTGAAATTAAGAGGACAAAAGCTTGAGCTACAGCTGCTTGAGATGGCAGAAAAAGAGGTTTTCTTTCTTTTTCCTTTTTTGATTACTTACCCTTTGATTCAAGCTTTCCATGCAAATTTTTCTATAATGTGGGAGGAATTTGTAGGAGGCTGATGAATTTATAATTGGGCTTCTTAAATCCTGGGATGGAAAAGAGACTCCTCAATCCAACAAAGTTCGCAGTATAGCCGGAAGGCTAGCGGTTCGAGCGGCGGAGAGGTAATATCTTGTGTATCCTCTTATTGTTTGTGGATTTGCTTAGTTTTGCCTCAAGTTTCTCACAGACCCATTTGGTTCGGACATAATTTGCCTAAAAGAGCACTTCTTTTCTGCTTTTTACATGTCAATTTGTTGATGTAATGATGTTTTTTTCTAACTCAAATTCAGGGGTTGGAGAGTATATCTACAAGATGAACATGGGACATCAACAGAAGCTGAATACAGGATGATCAACTTGTACTAACTTCTGTTCTCTTGGGCAATTTTCGAGATTTCATATTTCCCTGTCTTGAAATATTGTTGTTGATTGTTATAATTCTGATAACACTAGAACATGATTCTTTCACTTCTCTTTCAGGGGTCTTGGCAAGCTTACTCGCCAGAAAAGCTCTGATGCTTATGCTGCTGTGGTGTGTAATGAACCTTTATCACATTTTTCATATTTCTGTGATTGAAAAGATACTATATTTCCTCAATGGTGGTTGTAAATTTTTGTTTGTTTTGTGAAGAAGACCATCAATTTGAATTGAGGTCATTTCTGTTTTCTCACCCCTCTTATTTTACTCTCTGCAGATATTACTAGAGAGATATTTTGCCATGTCTGGTAAGGGCATTGAAATTGTTTTGCCAAAGCAGATGGATTTGCAAGAAAAACTCAGAAGGGGTGCACCACTGGACGTTGATTTTTTGCCAGAAGAATTTGTTGGTTGACAGATAACAGGAATCCTTGTTTTCTGCTTGTTGGCATGTGATGCCGTTAACAGTTTTATATAGACAGAGATTAGAAGTCTTTTCACTAACACTGATTCTTGTTTTTGATGTAGAGTTTAAGAATATTTGTTTGAAGTGCATAGGAAATGAGTGCTTTCACAATTTGAAATGTTTGTGCCTGGATATCTTGGCATGTAAATGTAATTCCCCGAGTGGTCTCTTTCTTGTCTCCAAATAAACCAGCCGAGCCCAATTTGAACTCAAAACTACGGGCCCGCTTCTGGCGCAGAAAAGCCACTTGCTATCAAAGGAGGAGGGCAAGCCGTAGGGGACAAGCCCAGAATTTAATCTCTTTCATTTTCTTTGACCATTTTTTCATTGCCTCTTAAGAAAAAAATCTCGGGGAAAAAACTATGGGAGAATAATTTGTATCTACTTGGTAAAAAATAATGGTAAAGTGTTTTGTTATAAGCACCATCCATTTTTCAAAGCATATTTATGGTATACTTGAGAGTTAACAGTTTCATTCCCACAGGAGATTCTGAGGAATCATTCTCAGAATCATCCCCTCTCCAAAACTCGGTTTCCTTTGCCATTTGTCCTGTTATTTGGGACGACTGATATAACCGAATATGCTTAGGAATTCTCTTGCCTCAAAGACTCTTTTTTACCCTTTCTGATCGCCACTTCATCACGCCAAGCATATGCTCTTTAATATTCTACTACTGTTTTGGTAATAAAGCCAATTTTCTTATCCTTCATTGCCAAGCTCTTTTTAACATTTCAAAGTCTTCACTTTTCATTCAATCTTGGGTGTTGGTTCGAAAGGCTTAAGAATGAAGTTTGGGAAGAGATTAAAGCAGCAAATTCAGGAAACGTTACCAGCTTGGCGGGACAAATTTTTGTGCTACAAAGAGTTGAAGAAGCTTGTTAGATTGATTTCTTCAGCTCCGCCACTGTCGACGGAGTCGCTCGAGTATGGGAAAGCGGAGGCTGAGTTTGTGTACTTGTTGAACAATGAGATCGACAAGTTTAATGCTTTTTTCATGGAACAGGAAGAGGACTTCATCATCCTGAATAAGGTAAATTTAATGCCGTTTTTCATCCTTCCTCCACCTTTGGTGTCTGATACAATTGCAAGAACGCTTGATCTAGCAAGTGTGCATCCCACATAGGAAATCAAATTTGAATCAATTAGGGATGAAAACAAGTCCAGCTACTGATGAACTACTCGGACTTGACTCAAAACAAATTCAAACTTTGACTCGTTCAAGCTTGATCTACTTCAGTAATGATCTTAATTGAGTTCAAGTAATTTCATAATTTTATCTTAAGGCTCACAAGCCTTATAAGTCTTTATTTTAAATATATTTAATATATATAGATAAATAATAAAAATACAATATTTATAAATTTATCAAACTTAACTCTCAATTAAACTACGAGTTGAACTCAAATATAAAAAATAAAATTCAATTGAACTCAAATCAAGTTTTAAATTTTGAGTTTTCAAGTCTATTGCTACTTGCTAGTTAAAATAGATTTGTAAACGAAATCGATTGATTCATTGTAAATTTAAAATAATTTTATATAATTCTTTCTTATTCCTTTTTTGTCATAGGGTTAAAACGAAAAAATATTTATTCCTTTCTTGATGTTTCCTTATGTTCTTAATAAAACTTTCTCGTAAAAATATTTTAACAATGTTTTCAGTTATATTAATAGATTCTATTCGAATCATTTCTTTTCTATTTGAGTTGAACTTGAATATAATAGTGTATCGTTTAGCATGACATCATTAGTATTAATTGACACGTGATTAAAATAAGATGATACATAAGACGAATATTTATGAAAAGAATTATTTTTAATATAAATTAAAATAATAAATTGAAATTACACAAAAAAATATTATCAAAATATATTCTTCAAGGGGATTAAGAAACATGGTTAAGATTTTTAAAGCATTACCAGATATTTGAGCTCATTCTTTAGAACAATTTGGAATTCGAAAGCTAAATTAATTTGACAATCATGAGTATATAAAGAAACATCGATAGGGATACTTTTTGATGAGGGTTTAATTGACGCTATAGTCGAGTAAAGATTGATTGAAATGACAAAGTGAACCGATGAAACTAAGCAAAATATAAACGAGATTTAGAGGGAAAAAAAAAAAAAAAAGAGATTTGAGTTTGACAAAAAGAGGACATGCTTCATGGTATGTCCCAATTTGGAACGTACTTTGGTTTTATGTCAGTTTAAATCATCATCTAACATCTCAAGGTTACCATACATATTCAGCAAAAAGATGGGCCATTTCTCCGCTACAAAGAGACATTATAACTATGCTTTCATCACTTAAAACTTAACATCTCAAGTTTCAGGGTTGTTGCTAGAATTCCAATTGCTTGACACTTGAAAAGAAAAAAAAAAAAAACCATGAATAGAACTTTGAAGCAAGGATCTATAAATTCAGGAATTGCAGCAGAGGATTAAGAGAGTGATAGATGCATGGGGCCCCACTGGATCTAGGCCTTCAGATGCAGAGTATAAAGATGAAATGGCGAAAATTAGAAAAGAAATTGTCGATTTCCATGGCGAAATGGTCCTCTTAGAGAATTACAGCAATATCAATTACACAGGTAGTCACTGTCACAAGAAGCTTTCTTCAATACTTTTGCAGGTCCTAGTCATGTAGATGCTGACCACATTTATCTATTTATTTATTCTTTCTTTGGTTGGTTAATTTACTAGGCAATGTTTCTGTAGGTTTGTGTAAGATATTGAAGAAATATGACAAGCGAACAGGTGGATTATTGCGCTTGCCCTTTATCCAGAAAGTGCTGCAGCAACCATTTTTCACAACTGATCTTGTTTCAAAGCTGGTTAAGGAATGTGAAAACACCATAGCTGAAGTCTTCCCAGTAGAAGAAGAAGAAGCAAGGACAAAGGAACGAAAAGAGGCAATAATGATAGAAGGGAAAGGGATTTTCAGAAATACAGTTGCAGCTCTATTGACCATTCAAGAAATTAGAAGGGGCAGCTCTACTTACGAACAACTTTTCTCCGCCTCCTCTCAACTTAGCTGACTCTGATCTCATACACTTGTTCCAACTCAAGTCCCCAATCCCCATTCTCTGATCACACGACAGCAAAAGTAATTTATGTTACAAAGTTTTTTTTTTTTCCCTTTTTTTAGGATATAAATGCTGCATCCTGCAGTCAATTGCTAATATATTTCCTTCTGTAATAGCTAATAGTATAACAGATTGATATGTTTATGATGATTGTTCACTGTCTTTTATGTCAAGTTCTTGTTTTTTTTTTTTCAAAAATATGTTTAATTTCTTGTATTTTTTCCTTAAAATTTCTCAACTGTTTGAGGCATATGGGGTTTATTCATAATCTCTTACTCACCAATAAAAAATTCCAAAACATAAAAAACATATTTCAATTTTAGGTTCCAAACGAAAACTTGATTATTTACAAATGATAATCTTTCTTTTTTTATATAACTTTTAATCACATAACAAATTTAGTTATCTCTGACCTTAGAAATATGATTTTCTGTTAAAAATTATTAATTTGCTTCTTTGATGAAAGATACTCCATATATACATGTTTTCGTGATAATTATTTAAATTTATTAACAATTTTATGATTTATTGTTTTAAATTTAAATTTTAATAATTAAGATTTAATTTTTTGCAGCTTTAATTAAAAAAAAAAATAGTAGCTTATATCTAATGAGAAGGTAGTTTTATCAATAAAGTATAATATAATCTTTATATAATAGGATTTTTTATGTGCACCATATCTGTCCTGACGCCTTTACTTAATTAGAAAAACAAAATTCTAAAATTTCATTTTGGGCCAGAAAATAAAACAAAAAAAAAAAAGGAAAATAAGAAGGGGGGGTGGGATTTTTGTCCTAATGCCTTTGATTAGAGACGAGTTTACAAGAGCTCTTCTTGTGGGATTTATAGGATTTACACCATCTAAATTAGGCCACATCGTCCCTGAGAAATGAGGTAAATCTTGATTTTTAAAAATTATTTCTTTTATTCTGCTGGGGTATAAATTTGTTCAAAAGGTACTTAATGTAATTTATTTGTTTCAATTATATACAAAAAAACGAACTTTATTAGTGTGATGTAATTGTGGTTGTTTCATTTAGCAGATATGGGTGCTTTTTGGGTATAATTCTCGAGATTTTGAACAACTCTACGTTGGTATTTCATGAAATTTATAGAGGACACAATTAATAAATTGTTCATACAAAAAAAAAAAAAATGAATGAATAAGAATCCTGAGGAACATTGCTTGCACTACAGTGCTCTTGGTTTTGGGTAAGGAACATTGCTTTGCGTTCTTGGACTTATTGCTGCCGGGTTTCAGCTTTGGCTTTGTATGTGGCTTTGTTATACTTGTCACTAGTTTTAGATGCTGGAAAGAGATTCTTCATTGTAGATGGTAACCGAGAATTATCTCTAATTGTGTGATTTTTATAACTACCTGGGCAATTATTATACAAACTTCTGTTCTTATTGCTTCTTCTACAGTAGTTTTGATCCAATCATGATCATTTGAGATTGGGGATTGTGTTATTGTAGTTCTTTCATTGACATAATTATTTATTTCTTTGTGATTGCGTGAACATTGGAAGTTTGAAATGCTCTTGGAGGAGTTGGAGCAATCCATGATATTAGAGCATAATACGTATTTCATGTGTAAATTTGCTGAAAGTCTGATTCTACAGAGAGAAATTTAGTAGGAAACAACAATTCAACGATGTGTAATCTTTCAAGCTCAAGTTTTCCTACTAACATCGTATATATGTTTCAGAGAAATGAAAACCATTTCATCTTATCAAGGCTGCTGAAGATATCAGTTATGAACCAAGGAATGGCTTACCTAGCTCAAGCTCCTTCTACCATGCCCGTCACTAGAATTCCTCAGGTTCATTCTAAAAACCAACAACTGTTAAAAGCCTCAAAGGTACCACATGTGCTCGCCTTCTGTCACATCCACATCAGACAGTCCCCTGTTTGCTGCATAAAGTTCTCTCAGTGGGAACCTGCACCGGTCACGTCTGCTCCAACTGAGAAAGCCGGTGATAACTTCTTGGAAAACTCATCTGAATTATTTGAAACTCTGCGACCTGACAACAGAGGTGATTCTTCAGTAAGTAAAGCTGAAGATCTCACAGATACAACAAATCAACCAGTGGCGCAGCTTCAATTTCTTAAATGGACAATGTGGCTGTTGGGCCCTTCTCTTCTCCTCAGCACGAGCACGGTGCCCACCCTGTGGTTGCCAATATCCACCGTATTCCTTGGCCCAAATGTGGTCAGCCTTCTTTCCTTGATTGGACTTAATTGCATAGTCAATCAGAGTGTAACCCTTTTTCTCCTCATGGCTGATTATTGTGCCCGGTCAAAGAACTTGAGTCAAGCTTCCAAGAGCAAGCCTCCTTTCAGTTACCAGTTCTGGAATACAGTAGCAACTTTGACTGGACTTGTGGTCCCTCTTATGATACTGTTTGGTTCCCAAAAGGGCTACCTCCAACCGCAGCTGCCTTTCATCCCATTTGCAGTTTTATTGGTTCCCTACATTCTGCTTTTGTCAGTACAGATGCTGACTGAGATATTGACGTGGCATTAACAGTCACTAGGTTGGTTGGTGACCCCAGTTGTGTACGAGGCCTGCCGTGTGTTGCAGCTAATGAGGGGGTTGAAACTTGGGGCTGAACTCAGTGCACCAGCATGATGATGCACACTATCAAGGGCCTGTTCTGTTGGTGGATTCTGATTCTTGATGTGCAACTCATGAGGGTTGCTTGGTTTGCTGGTTTTAATGATCGAACTCGTCAACAGCAGTCTTCTGCTTCTGCTGATGCTTAATACTAATAGCCACTGATATGTTTAAACTGAAAGAAGAATTGTGGCTTGATATACAATCTCCAAGTAAACAAATCCAATAAAATGTCTCTACATGTTGTCATATACATTGAATAGCTTATAGAAATGTTATTTATTTGCATGATAAGAGCAGGCGTGTTTGAATGTCACAAATGATTCCATAGTTGTCAATAGGGTTTGATAGAAGATATAAGTTGCCAACGGTTTGTATGTCCCACATCTGATAGACGGAGGTGAAATTTATTATGTTCCAGTGTTTATAAGAGATCAAGAAAAGGCTAAAATATGCCCGGCTTGAAACTTGAAATAAGTGATTGTGTATTTAGGTTCTCAGGTGGCGTAAATATGTGTTAAGAGAAGCTTGGCTGTGTCTGAACTCCTTTTTTGCAAGGAAAAATGAGGAGCATTTTGGAAATAAAAAGCCGGTCCTGATCTGGAAAGATGGAGGAAACATCGTGTTAATAGAGAAGGCAATGAAGCAGGTATGGTTAGCAATAGCCACTACCACCCATTATTAGGAGTGAGAAAAAAAATTAAATATCAACTTAAAACAATAATATTCAATTTAATTTAGATTTTTTTATTTAATTCGAATTAAATTTAGATATTAAATATATTTATTAAATTAATTTGAAATATAAAAAATAAAAAAAAACTGAATCAAATTATTTAGTTTTATTAATTATATATATATTTTAAATTTTTATAAAATAAAATAATTATTTTATATATAAATATATTTAAAATTATATTAAAATAATATATAAAAAATTTAAAGAACAGATTAATCAAATTAAACTGATAAAATTAAATTTAAATTAAATAAATTTAAAAAATTAAACTAAATTAAATTAAATATTAAATATTTATAATATTATAAATTATCTAAAAAATCGAATTAAATTCTATCCAACTGGTTACCGTCTATACCTGTAAATGCTTCTACGCATCTACGCCATTGGTGTTAAAAAAAATCCCCAAAAGTTGCTTCTTGATAGTTGCGGCCAGCCTACCAATATCATTTTCCACCGACTGCTCAAACTACCAACTAACTTTCGTGTTTTTTTCCGACAACGGAGTCATCAATCAAATCTATGTAGTATAACCTTACATGGTACGCTGTTGTTTTTGGGTTTGTAGAAGTAAGTGGATCTATGTTGATAAATTCTTGTGTCCAAACGGGTCACTACCTTCTTTTTTTTTTTTTTTTCTGAATTTCCCTTTTCGTTTTTATAAGTGGTTTTCAATTTTGCAAGAGAAAAAGTTAGAAATAATTGGGATTTAAAAAAAAAAATTAGGTTTTCTTTTGTGAGTACTTTTTACTCGAAAGTCCAAATCATTATCGGGAGATAAAAAGACAATTATAGCCCTAAATTGAACCGCATGATACTGTAAAATAGGGAACCGGAAACAACTGCAGTCAAAGTCGAAAGCAAGACAAGCATCACTGTCCCACGTTCTTGATTTTCTGCTGTGTCTCGAAGACCGGACACCATTGTCTCAATCCCTCCCTTCGTCTCTTTCTTTTCTCTTATTTCCTCTCTCGCCGGAGAACCAGAAACTCCACTGCGTCTCCGAAGGCTTGCCAGAACAGCCTATCGTTTATTTCTCCGGAAGCCCTCTTACCGATCGATTCACGATGACCGCCGGCGAATTTCTCAGCATCGAGCCTCAAGAGCTCCAATTTCCCTGTAAGCATCTTCCGAAGCCTTACCTTTTCAAAAATTTCCAGTTTCGCGTTGATTTCCAGATCCATATCTTCATCGTTATGAGTTACGTTTTCAACTGTTTTTCTAATTCTTTAACATTTGTTGTTCCTGAATTAGTTGAATTGAGAAAGCAGATCTCATGTTCTCTAAACTTGTCCAACAAGACCGACGATTATGTGGGTTTTAAGGTAATTATGTTAATCCTTAAATCTCGCATGTCTTTTACTTCTTCTGGGTAAATTTATTTGGGATTTTGTTGTAACCCAAGACTTTGATTCTTATTAGTCTACTGCGTATCTTTTTGTGTGTGTTTTTTTGCAGGTCAAAACGACAAACCCAAAGAAGTACTGTGTGAGGCCTAACACTGGAGTTGTTCTGCCTAGGTCTACGTGCAACGTTATTGGTCTCTTTCCTTGCCTCTTTCTCGCACAAAATTTGGACTTAGCTATCATTGTTTTAGTTAATCATTTTTAATGCTTAATTATAGTAATTTGTTTCCTTTTTCTTTGTCGTGTTAATTCCATGGCAATAATTAGCTTTATTTTCGACTTTTATAATTACTTTTTCTATAGTTAATTATTGACTTATTTATGGAGTCAGTTACAATGCAAGCTCAAAAGGAAGCACCTCTTGATATGCAATGCAAGGATAAGTTTTTACTTCAGACTGTGGTTGCTAGTGCTGGAGCTGCACCAAAAGATATAACTCCAGAGATGGTATTTGTTATATACTATGGGATCTGATTTGAAAGGGTTTTTGTTTTCTAACTGTTTGCTTTTGATTGTGTTAGTTTAATAAGGAATCTGGGCATCATGTTGAGGAGTGCAAGTTGAGGGTTGTTTATGTTGCACCTCCTCGGCCTCCTTCCCCTGTTCGAGAAGGATCTGAGGAAGGCTCTTCACCTAGGGCTTCATTCTCAGACAATGGTAGCTTGAATGCTGCAGAATTTACATCTGTGAGTGTTACTTGTCTTTGTGATTGATATTGAATAGGGTTTTAGTGTTGATCAGTGTGTTCCATTCAAATATTAATGAGTTGTGTTGTGGTTATATGATTGTGCCTGCAGGTGTCAAGACCTCATGTTGAGCGGCATGAACCTCAAAACAACTCATATGATGTAACTTCTCTCTCTCTCTCTCTCTCTCTCTCTCTCTCTTATTGGTACTTTTAGCTCTTTCATTGGAATTTTATGGGTTCTTGTAAGGAATGTTGGCAGGTTCCCTCTAAACCAATGAAGTGAGTGCCATTCATGATAACAGTTCTTTCTAATTGCGTATGGTTGGCATTTCCATAATTGGCTTAATTTAGGAAATGGTGTAATTAATTTTCAAATCATACAACGTGAAGAATGCATTGATGATACTGGTAATCATACTTGCATGATGCATCTATGGGTGGAAATTATCTTGACTTGTGTCTTTTTTTTGCCCTAAATCACCCATCATCAAGCATGGTTCAGCTGACCTTACTGATTTTGAGTTTTTGTGTGTGTTAATTTACTAGGTAGTTTTATCATTCCATGTAATTGTAATGGGGTTCATTTCTTCATTTTTAGGAATATCTACTTTTTAAGTTGGAGTCTATTTGGTTGTCAATATCTTCCTTGGAGACGGACTAGGTGTCATATACTCAGTTTTAATGAAGCTTACTTAGCATCAGGCCTGTGTTTGCAGGCCATACATACTGGTATAAAGGGATCAATTTTAATATACCCTTAGATGCTATAACGGCAATTTTTTTGTAACTTTTTTGGCTTTTAATTAACTTCTATGTACAGAGAGTGATTTCCTAGTAGTAAGTGAATTATTTTCATGTTAAACTTCCTATAGTAGAGCTGAACATGCATGTCACTTTGATGGTGATATTACCCCAATTTTTTCTTACCCCATATTCTTGATGTTTGTTCAGACCTGTTCATTAGGACTATTTAGGAGTGTAAAAATATGAACACTGTCAACAAGGTTATTGAAGGACTCTTGTCTCCTTTCTTTTGATATGGTGAAAAGTCTCCCATATGGTGGACAATCCTATTGTCACTGAAATTCCTCATCTAGATAGTGGTTCTGACCACTATTACAACCCCTCTAGGTGAAATTTGCTGATTTGAGCACTCGGATTGGATATAATCTCGTGCTTGTTTTTTCTATCCTGACGACAATTAACGATCACTCCTCCTATATTAAAAAAATGTTTCTCAGAATACCCCAGCATTGGGGTTCTGGACTCCGATGCTGCGGGTACACTAGTACATGCCCATGAATGCCAACAACTCCAGTTAAAACTTGAAGCAGAAGTTTGTTCATTTAAGATGAACACTAATACTGGGTACGCCTCTTAAAATTCAACCTTTGCTGTCAACTTTTCAAATGCACTTGATGTGAGAAATAATTATGGATCTAACATGGCTCTGCGTTAAATGTGGCATTATCACCTTGTTAGATATTAAATGCTATATTTTTTATCATCACATTCATGTTAATGGCTCTTTTCCGTGATTTAATGATAATTATCTAATTGAAATATGTAAAAAGAATTTTCATCTCTGAAGAATGAAAACCCTTGAAAGATTGAATCAAGACTTTGTGGAGGAAAAGCTAAGTCTGGGAATGTTCCTTTTTACTATATCACTGAAGCTATTCTAAAAAATTGCAATTATCCAAAACAAAAAGAAGAAAAGAAAAGCCTTAAAATATTGATGCTTCACTGTGGCATTTTTATTCTGAAAAGTACTTTTATTTGCAGGCAAGGTCTCTCATTTCCAAGCTAACTGATGAGAAAAACTCTGCCATTCAGCAAAATAACAAGCTTCAGCAAGAACTGGTAAGTTACTCTCTATTTTCTAAGAGTTTCTTGCAGTGTACTTTGGAATTAAATCTTTGGGGTCCTAAACTCATAACAAAAAGGTTAAGGAATTAAGAACCAATTGCTAATATGTTAGGTATATGAGTGCATCATCATTCATCCATGGTCACTGTCCAATTGTCAATAACTTATCAATGCGGCTGACAATTTGTTATACTGTATTCTTCTAACATCAATATGAGCCGCACAGGGTTCTGTTAATAGCTTTATTGCAGCCTCACATTGAAATTCAATTTGCAGGAACTCCTGAGACGTGAAGCCGAAAGAGGTCGCGGTGGTATTCCATTCATATATGTAATTCTTGTTGGCTTAGTTGGCATCATTTTGGGATACCTCTTGAAAAGAACATGACCTTTTCTCCTTTGATGCTACTTCGTGGCTGGAAAAAAAAAAAAGAAATGTAGAAAATTGGAAAAACAAATGTTTGAATGATGCGTTGTAGCTTTTGTTGAATGTATTACTTAATGGTCTGTATGGACGCTAGAAAAACATGTTCAATGTGTGACGGGTAAGAGGCAACTATTGTTCATTGTATGACCTTTCAAGTGGGAATTATCCTTGAATTTTGGTTTTTAAAGATTGGATTAATAGTAATAATAATGACATGCTTGGGCATGACATGCAGGATATTGACTAGAGGTGTGTTAATTCTTGTGAATTCCAATTTGACTGCAGGCATTCCATATTATAATCTGAATTGTAAAGTCTGTCAACAGATGCTGCTGGCTACAACTAGGATTTTTGACTGGATACTTTGCGTTGAAGGCTCATATATATTTATTTGTTAGGAAAAAAGATTAGTAACTAAAAGAATGTATTCAAGAGCGGATTAACATTTAAAAATAAAATATTTATGAATATTCTTTAAAAAAAAAAATTTCAGACACTTTTAAAATTTATTTATATATATAATTTATAAAATTAATAAATCTATCAATAATTCTTTGTGTACATTATATAAATAAATATACTAAAAAAGAAATTCTAAACCCACACGCACTGATCTTTCCATCACCATCCCCATCAAAAGACAACTTCTTTGTCTTACCGCATAAAATCATGTGCAATAGGCAATAACTTCTCCTATAGAAATGCTTCCTTTTCCAGCATCTGGTAGCCAACAGTGCTTTTTTAATCAATGACCAAAAAAACATTCAAGAATAGAGAGATAATACTAATAACAGAAATAGTTTTAGAGGGGGAGGTGTATTCAGAATTAGGTTTCCAATTCAAAATTTTATTAATCTTTTTTCTTCTTAATAATAATAATAATTAGGAAATAACAGCTCCACTCAAATTTCTCTAAAATATAATATTTTCCCAATTTCCATAATTACCCCGAAGAACGAATTGTACATGACGAACCTAACCGTTGCCGTAAAATCCGAGAAAAATTAAAATTAAAATAGTAACAAAAATACCAACAAGACAACACTTTCCTCCAACCTCGAAAGGCCCGCTCGAAGCTCTCTTCGAACTTCGAACTCATCTCAATCCTTCGAAACCCAGATCAACAACAACGAAATTATGCGTTCAGATTTTTGTCCCAAATAAAAAAAAAAATCTCCATTTTTTTTACTCTTTTGTTTGGTTCAATTTTTTTATGGCCTCTTTCGTGGAAATCGATCGGTACAATCTAATTCCACTATCAGTAACTTCTCTTTGCGGTTGCCCATGTCGTTTCTTATCCAACCAAACCCTAACTTTCACTCGAAGAACCCCTAAACTGAATCTTAACTTAGTCTTTCATGGATCCGAATCCGTCCTCCTAGTTCGTCCTACGCGTTACATCAATCGGCGGATTATTACGGCCGTGGCTCGTGCTGAACCGGAAAGTGTCGACGAAAGCAATGCCAAGGAGGTACCTTTAGTATTGGTTGTGCACATATTTGCTTAACTTAGAACTGGATTTTGAAATGTTTGAATGATCTATTCGTTTGCATTTTGATAATGTAAAAGAAATCGAAATCCTGAAGACTTCAATTAATTAAGAAAAGCAAAAAAAAAGAAAAAAAAAGCTTAGGTGGTAAGGGATTCAAATAATTTTCGAATAAAGAATAGTTGGAGATTTGGAAGTAATTGGTTGATAAGAGAAATAGTCATGAAGAATGCATGAGAAATTTTAATGTAAGTTGCAAATATCAAGTTTTGTGTAGTCAATAACTGAAACTGTTGTTTAAAGATGGTTACTGAGACAGTTATGTTATAGGAAGTTGACAAAGGCCATATGTTACCAACGGTGAAGGATTCTCCTTCTAAGCACCAACATAAATCAAGTCAGTTGAGGAAAAGGATTGTTTTTGGACTTGGTATTGGAATCTCTGTTGGAGGTGCTGTATTAGCTGGGGGATGGGTTTTCACTGTGGCTATGGCTGCTACTGTTTTCCTCGGTGCACGCGAGTATTTTGAATTGGTTAGGAGCCGTGGAATCACTGCAGGAATGACACCTCCTCCACGATATGTCTCACGAGTTTGCTCTGTTATATGTGCTCTCATGCCCATTCTCACATTGTAAGATTGATGGATACCTTGTATTCTCTGATATTATCACAAGTTTATCTACTAATGTTTTGATTTCATTGTCTTTATTTTATTTAGAATGCAACATCCTCCCTTCAGAATCTTTTAGTTCCTACTTTGTGGTTAAAATCTTTTTGAAAATATTTGATGTCTTATTTCTTTAGTATTTCTGCTGTATTATCAGGTACTTTGGCAATATTGATGTTTCGGTGACATCCGCTGCATTTGTTGTTGCTATTGCATTGCTCTTGCAAAGAGGAAACCCTCGTTTTGCTCAGCTTAGCAGTACCATGTTTGGGCTATTTTATTGTGGCTACCTCCCATGTTTCTGGGTTAAGCTCAGATGTGGTTTAGCAGCTCCTGCCTTGAATACTAGTAAGAATTTGGATTTTTAAACCTTTCTGCTAGTAAATCTAAATATTGGACAAATTTATCTATCAACAGTGAATACCAATCTTTGTTAAGTTGTCAGGTTAGAACTTAAAATGGCATTTCTTTAAAAGTCATAGTTTCTAGACTGCTTTTGCTTAAAACTTGGTGATTTGGATAAGGATTTTGAATTTTCTGACTCATGGATCTTGAAACATCTTTTATTTCCTTATTATAATATAATATAATTTTGAAATGCATCAAGGAATTTTAAAACAGCTTTTATTTCTTTAGATGTGAAACGCCATTTCCTTTAGGCATCTGGTTCATTTGCGTGGGTGGTATGGATGATAATTTTGATGAAACTGTTTTACAAGCAGCTTCTTATTGACAGGGATAGGAGCTGGATGGCCATTTCTTCTTGGTGGCCAAGCTCATTGGACAGTAGGCCTTGTGGCAACCTTGATTTCTTTCAGCTGCATAATTGCAGCAGATACATATGCTTTTTTAGGTGGAAAGGTATATAGCCTTGGTCAACAAAATCTTATTTCACTTATTAAATTAAAACTTTAAGATGCCTTGAATGCTTCATTAGTTACAGGGTTACTGCTTGTGCTGTCGGCATCACTTTATTAGTTTTTTTTTTGTTTTGCCATTTTTCAATCAAATTGCAAAAACTAAATCTATTTATATGGCATGAGGACTGATTTTTTCTTACATTTTAAGCGGTGGACGTATCATCCAATGACCATGATTTCGTTTGTTCCCCTGTTCTGATGCAGGCCATTGGGAGGACACCACTTACTAATATAAGTCCAAAGAAGACGTGGGAAGGAGCTATTGTTGGCTTGGGTGGTTGTGTAGCAACTTCTGTTGTATTGTCAAAGATTTTTAGCTGGCCATCATCTTGGCTAAGGTATTCAATCTATCTCACAAGTAATGATGTACTAAAGATTTTTGTTTTTGAAAAGTGGAGCTCTCTCACTCACACGTAGATACAAATGTTTTACTAGGATCATTGCAAGCATTCATTGTTAAATCCTTCCAAGAGACAAACATGGGGATGACTGGATTAGTTTGTTATCTATAAAAAGACATGGGTTCTATGAACTTCAAACTACATCTATACAACTCAGAAAATTTTATCCTTTTTTTTTTCTTCTGAAAATTTTAGTTTCATACCCTCGATGTATTCTTTTTCATTGATGCAGTGCAATAGCCTTTGGATTTCTGAACTTCTTTGGGTCTGTTTTTGGTGATCTTACTGAATCAATGATCAAGCGAGATGCCGGTGTTAAAGACTCTGGCACCCTTATACCCGGGCATGGTAATTATGGTCACTAATGTTTTAAGTTCTCCGATAAGTTATTGAATTAATTTTCGAAATACGTTTGATGGTGAACAAGAACTTTGCTTACTTTAAATAATTGAAAAAGAAGACACCGAATACCAGTTGGCTAGATTAATTTGGTGCTGCTTATATGGGATTCATTGTTTGTATTAAAAATTCAAGAAACTGTTTAACATTTTGTGTGCACTGTCATGCAGGCGGAATACTTGACAGAGTGGATAGTTACATTTTCACAGGTGCTCTTGCTTACTCTTTCGTCAAAATCTTATTGCCGCTCTACGGCGTTTGATATGTAAACAATAGCAATAGAGGATACCAGATAGAAATTCGTCTGGGTTTTTTCAATATTGAAATGGAGTTGACAAGCACATTTGATTTGATGGATATAACGCAAGAGAGGAAGCAAAGGTTGTTTTTTGCAACTCTTCGATTGTCAAGTCGAGGAAAAACATTTTTTCTAGATAAATGTAATACTACACCGGCCATTTAGATTTCACAGACAAAGGGGTTTTTGCTTTTAACTTAAAATCATTTCCAACCCCACGTATTACTATAATTAGATAAATAAAACACAGTAAGTCAAATTTGTGTTTTTAATGGACCTTCAACGAGGGCCCAACAAAGCTTTGATTTTGATATTTAGTCCCACCTTTTTGGGTTGGATTGGGGACCTAATGGCGTAATAATAATAATAATAATAATAAATCTTCTTTAGGGATCATTTCTTTGATTTATTCAGTTTACTTTCCATTTTCCTTTGGAATTCAGAAAAAAGTGAAAAGCTGTAATCGCATATGCAATAACCAATTTTCAAAAGCATGACGAAATTAGTAAAATAAAAAATTTTCTTTATCTTGACTATACTAAAGAAAATGGCAAAATAAAACATCTGAGCTTGATAACTTGAAGGGTACGTGCTGCCTGCTATATTAAAGCTAAGGAAATGCATCCCCACTCTGAAAACAAAAGCCCTTGAAACCGCCCGGGTTTGCCAAACCCACATACTTTATGTTTCGTCGTTTAGCGTTTCACAGTTATTTATATAATAATAGTCACATTACAATTATATAATTTGGACTTAACTTCAATCTTATCATAATTGATATCGGTGGTTACGATGATGACACTTGATGTTACTCCGTATTGTCGGTTCCACCACTAATTTTAGCAACAAAATGTCTTGTTCGATTTTACTTTTTATATAGTGCGATGCCCTGCCCTATCTATCTATATATATATATATATATAAACATCATGACAAACCTTAATTTTGTACATAATTTGTGGGCTATGTACATTTAAAATTCTAAAGTTAATCACATGAAAGTTATATATATTCACTTATTAACATAATTGCTAATCTTTATAAAAATTCTACTTTAGTTTTTGAATGCACCATTTGTTCTTGTAGTAACTAGTGATAAATTAATGTTTCACTGATCTTGGCCAAAAAAAAAAAAACTTAACGTTTCACGGAAGAAAATATAGATGTCATGAGCAGCTCTCAGGGTAAGTGAGAGACCATTAAAACACTAAGAAACCATTCGAATGTCCATACTCAACCATCAGAAAAGAAAGTTTCAGCGGCAAAATAAATTCATCGTATCATCATTATCATCACCAATGGTAAACTCTTTGTGACGTCTAAATTTATAGTATAATAATAACCATAATAATTAACACAGTCTTGAGGAAGAGAAAGTCGCCTTCTGATAACCTAAAGAAAGAAAATAAAGAAAGGGCGGTCACCCAACTATTAATTTGGGGAGGTAGGCAACAACCACTGAAAGACAAGCCCCCATGGCCATGAGGCTGCCAAACCCCTTAACTTTCACATGTACTTGTCTGTTTAACATACACATTTATACATATATACATATATACATATATATAGTCTTACCTATGTCATCCAAACACCAATCTATGAAATGTGTTATTGCCAAATCAAAAATGCTTGTCTATATCTTCTTCTTCTTCCAAGAACCTAACTTCCTTAATTTCACAAGATAGAAAGGAAGGAAAAATGTTCTTACTTTTCTTTTATTGGACTTTGCCACATTGGTCTTAAGTAGATTATAAAAAATGGTGTGCTGATTGCTGAGCAACCGATCAATCGTATCAATATTTTGATGTTTCAAAACAAATTATAATATAGTTGCATTTATATATTATATTATAATAAAAAAATATAGTTTCCTTTTTAAAAATTAGTACTACCATCACTTTTTTTTTCTTTTTCTTTTAGTTTTGTTTTATGATGTGAATACTGTATAAAGGGAGAGAAACATTCAGAACAAACGACTAATTTGTTTGACATTTAAAGAGGCTATTATAAATTAGTACAATTGAAAAGAAAAGGATGAAAAAGACTTGAGAAATATATAATCAACGTCGGGTTGACATTTGATGAGATTTTTCAAAATACAAAAAGGAAAGATAAGAGAAGAAGATGGGGATAAAATGAAACTAGACGCTGGTTTGGAGGCTAGCCAAGTCATCCATGCAAAGTCAACTGTGGAGCCAAACCATTTCTCAAATATATGAGAAAGAGAAAGAGAAAGGCAGAGAGAAGGGAGAGTCTTGAGCATGAAGAGAGGGAATTGAAGCCAATTAGGATGCCATATTTGTTCATGGAGGGCCTACCATAATTGACTTTTGACAAGCATTGAGTGCTTGCTTTTTAGTTTTGGTATAAAAGGGAAATCACAAAATAGAAAAACAAAAAATTGTGTGGGACGCAATGAACGCGTTGTTTCTAAGCTGACTAAGAGATGGAGAAAGAAAAGGATGGAAAAGAGAGTGAGAGGAAATTTTAATAAAACAATGATGGAAACTTAAAGAAGAGTTGGAGAAGATATGGTGGGCAAGCATCTATTAAAGTTGAAGAATGAGGGTGAGTGTGATAGAGAGAAGCAAAAGATTGTCTGATGGAAACCCTAACTTTTCTTGCACTTGCACACCCCTGTATCTCAGCCATCCCCATTTCCTTCCCCTCCCACCACTCTCCACCTAGCTCCTACCTCCTTTTGCTTTTCTTTTTATTGCTTTTCTTAGGCATATTTGCCTTGGATGCTCACTAGGTTTTTGGCTTTAGCTTCACAAAATATAGGTTAATTCACCATATCTCAACCTATTGTTTGATTTATATTCATTTTGCTAAACCAAGTGATGGGTGTTGGCATGTGTATTTAAAGGCTGCAATCATTGTGCTTTATATATGGCTCAACCAATTCTAATTTTGCCTCTATACATATTAACTGCATTCTATTACTCATCAAAGGTTTAGAATTGATTTCATTAGTATTAGTTTGTGGTTACGATTATATATAGTTGGGGTGCTCAAATTTGGCAGATATCAAGGGAAAAATTTTTCAATCTGAAGTAATCATGGAAATTAATTGGATGATTAAATAGTAATTAATCATGTCAAATAGAAAGATTAATAAATTACACATGATAAACATCAGGAGATTGCTTCGCTGCTAAGAGAACACCGACTGCTAAAGGGCCAAGGGGGCAAAAAGAGGTAAAGGAACATCAACTTGGGGCAAGAAATCATATCCTGAAACTGTCTCTCTTCATCACAGCTTGTCGTAAGCAAGATACGTTATAAGAAGTGCATCTTTCGAGTGACAACGTGAAATGCATTGAAATTAATCAAATTAGCATTATCACTGATCTAGGAATATCTTTATGATGATCATGTGAAAAGATCTATATTAGTGATCATTTGAGAATCATGATTAAGTTTTCAAATAACAATAACAAAGAAGATTTGAGCATTCCAACGCGCCAATGCAGGGAGCAATTAGCTAGGTCATCTCAAAAGGGTTATAGAATTCCTGGTTTTTTTTTTTTTTTCTTTTTTCAACTTTTTCTATATTCTTTACTCATGCAAAGGGACCCATTTGTTTTTCTATGCTTTTTGTAAGCTCTAGGAAAAAAATGGAAGTTACAAGCTAATTGTGGCTTTGGGTGAACCAGAAATGGTTGTTGGATTACTGAATTAGGCTTTAGTTAGTGACCCACCAAACATGTTTTGAACTTGGAAGCGGACAAAAGCTGGCATATGTCTCGAGTCTATAGCATATCTTTGTTCTTCACAAAAATATAACTGATCAATCCCTCACTCCTAGGAGGCTTCTTCAAGACAAAAGTGCTTACCTCAATTCCTTAATGAAAAGTTGTTTATCATTACACTTTCCAGGCAAGGGTTTTTTTTTCTTTTAGATCTTCAAAAATATGTGTGCCACTTTTATCGGCTTCCATATGTAGAAGATGCCTAGCTAATTCCTGCTCTCTTTCTCTCTCTCTCTCTCTCTCTCTCTCTCTCTCTCTCTCTCTCTCTCTTCTCTCTCTCTCTCTCTCTTCAACCCCTGGAATCTGCTTTAAACTATTGAGGTGACAAAAGGCCACAATGGCATTAGATCCATCCAAGAGGGGTTTTGAATTTGGTTTTGGTGAGAAATGATAAGGGAAAGCCACTTTTCCTTGCATTTGTTATGTTCTTTTCTTTCCCTTTCCTTCTCACAAATGGGCCACGCACATAGGAGTAAAAGCAAACAAAAAAACATCCATAGATTGTTACTCCAGTCACAAAGTCACCATGATTTCAATTTCTTTTGCTAAAAGACCACTTCATTTTCGCCATAAGACTCTCTTGTTAGGCCTTCAAATGCATGCCTTTTTTAACTTGCTATAATACTCCTCTCTATTAGTCCTCATCATTGTTTGATTGTTTCTTTGTGAATTTGATTCTTTAGGAAAGCCTGAAAATGACTCTACATTGATGTGAAAAATATTCTAGCTGTTCCTGCACCATTAACCGTGCCTTTCCTAATCTTTGTTTTTGTAGCATCAACGTAATTTTCCCTTCCTTCATCGCTTTAAAAATAACACATTTTGGATGCACCATTTATGTAGCTTTTGCCCCACAAATTAATTAATGTGTCCTTGTAGTTGACCAAATGCATTATTGTAGCTTCCTTGCAACCCAAGCACGTATCAGTTTTGGGCCAAATTCACCTCGGTATGTCTTACTAACTCATACAAAGGTTGGACGACACGTTAGAATTTAAAGTTTCAAAAGAAAATGAGAATACAAAGAATGATTATATATCGACCGCCAGCCACGTAGAACACATTTTAACCATGTTCTTGGCACCACCTATGAGAATTTAGAAATTTGTTTGTTTAATTTGCAGATAGGATGAAATTTGAGAAGAATGTTGTTGGTGATGAAGGCAAAAACCTAAAATTATGAGGTGGGAGATTGGTTAATGGCAAAGGTTGAAGATTTTTTTTATATTCAAATCAAAGCTTCAAAATAAAGTAAAAAAAAAAAAAAAAAGAGAAAAGTTGAGAATAGATGTGAAAATTGAATTGGTTTAATAGTATTTAAGATAAGCTATTTATATCTGTATGATGAAGGTGTTGTTGACAAGTAATCTGAGTTTCAAGTGATAGAATTAAAATTGATGTTGCCAGTTCAACTTAAATTAATAATTAATAATTTAATTAAAAAAATACTAAATTTATATTTTTATATGCCATCAAATTATCAATTAAGATAACTGAATTGATATAATATTTGAAATTTTAGATGACTCCACAAATCAACTTGAATAAAAAAAATTGAATTAATTGTATTTGACTAATGATTCATAGTTTAAGATAAAATATTTATCTTGCCTTTTGAATTATAAAATATCTTTAAAAAAAGGCATTAAATTTTTTAATTTGATATTCCTATGAATAATGATATATACTCGATTATAGATATCGTGGTAATTTCCTACTTATACTTTTTATAGTTTTTTACACGTTTCTCTCCTCAAAATTTATCAATCTTGCATTTATTTGTTTTCATTCAACTTTTCGATGACGTGAGAATAGTTTTATAACTAAATAAAGATAGGCAATGTACTTAATTATATTATGACGTAGTAGTAATGTCAAGTAATGACTAATGAGACGAAACATTTTTGCCGTGTCGGGCGATGATCCATGGTTTCCTTTAAAAACTGCCGTCGAGAAAAGAAAATTTCTCTGTGGTGCAGTGTCGCCCACACTGAGGCAAACCTTCGGGCATTGAGATGGTGATTGTCCCAAAACAGAATGAATCAGACCGCAAAGATTGCATAATCTTAGTTGACAAAGACATTTCACTAGGCTGGTCTGTAGGTGATCTGGAAATGGATATGTTTCCATGTTCATTTACTGGCCTTCAAGCTATACAATGTCAGGTTCAGGCAAAATTTGGGACCCCCAACTCTGCCTTCCGTTTCTGTCGTAGATCTTTGGGCTGGCATCATCAAAGTCAGTCAGTCAGTCTTGTTATGCAATGTCCGTATATCAGGCCTAACGCATGATCACGACCATTCATTATTCACCGTTTGTCATTTTCAATCTCACCGTCCCCAGCATTGCAGGACATAAGACAAACAGTCACGATCATTTGATTGGGCATCGCTGCACCTCTTGATCAAAAGATTTCAACAGTTGATTTTGGGGTACTTCTGCGTAATCCAATAAACGTGCTCCACGTGCTCTTTGGAGGCTGTTAGGACAAGCGTCTTGGACATGCATACCGCACATTAGAAAAGCTTCTGTCATACGTCCCTTATCGTAATTGCCGACCGATTAGAAGATTAAAAATCGTTTTTTTTTTCTCTTTAAAAAAAATTAATATTACAAATTGTTTTAAATTATAATGAAATATTTTAGAATTTTAAAAAAATTTATATAATATACTTAAAATATAACATTGTGGAGCCATAGCCTCCCCATAATCATCTAAACTCAAATATAGTAATAATAATAATAGTAGTTGCTGTTAACGTTAGCCCATTGGTTGATCCGACAGTGATACACAGTTATCCACTTCGCTTGGGACAAAGTTCAAGCTCCTGTCCAAATCCTTGCCTAAGTAAGCTGAAGAATTCAACTGCCTGTCACCATCTTCAACATTGACCCCAATTCCTTTTAACTCTCAAACAAATTATAGTAAGCATTTGGTAACAAATCAATCAAGGAAAAGCAATCAACTGATCATTAAAGAATTATATGTAGTCCGAAGTAATTTCTCTATAGTATTTTAGAATAACACCCTACCATTGTTAAAAGAATAAAATTAATGACTTTTCTCTTTTAATTTAATGATTAAGAGACAAATTAAAAGTTATTTAAGCATGAGTTCAATCCCATCATCCTTTTCTTTTCTCGTTGTAAGGGCACTAACCCTTTTTTGTAACAAAAAAAAAGAATAAAATTAAGATAAAACATTTACATCAATCATTATTGAGTGACATTTAATATAAAATAATCCTTTTAAAATCGAAGATGATATAATCACCGAGATGGTCATCTATATATGTAACATATATAATATATATCATATGTTAAAAAATTAATTATCATGGTGTTGTTAGAGTAGTCATTGTCCTTGAAGCTGAGGCTTTTCAATTTTTGTTTTTTAATAGGTAAGAAATTACTAATAGTAGTTATCATTATTATCATAATAATTTTAAAATTTTATTATTATAACCAATGAGCCAAATATTTTTCTCTCTTTAACATAATTCATATGCAACATGGCCTTTCTTCTTAAATATTTTATAATTGTGTTTTAAGAAAAGTTTAGTTAGAATACTAATGAACAACTTTCAAGTTCAAGGAGAAGAGAAAAAGAAAGAGTTAGTAAACTAATTATGTGGCGGTCCAATAGTACATCACCCATGTGATGGCGAGGCATTAAAAAAATGTACTTCACCAAACGATAGCAAATTCAATGTAATAATAATGCGAAGTGTTGGCATGCATAAAATTTTATCATAGATCATGCACTTTTTTATAAATTAAAAAATTCAAAACTATAATTAACTATAAAGTAACATAATGAGCTTAATTATCTATTGCACCCATACTAATGGACATCTTGATGAAAAAAAAAAAGTACATTAAAGCATGAATTAAGCTTTTGTTATTGCATGAACAGGAGGAATTTAGGCCAACACCTGGACCTTCAGTGCCATAAATCTATGAACCCAGTTCATGATTAATACGGACACCCTCAAGTAAGCAATTACGATTAATCTTGGCCCTCGCTAACACAAAAAAATCCAGCTTAATGAACCTTTTTCACTTTAATAACTGTGGTTATCAAGAATGTCAAAAAGATTACCTGATTGGAAAAGCTAACAGAAAGATGTCTAACAAGCTTTTCAGTTGTAGGTTTTCCAACCAGACAAGCAGTTTGGGAGAAACAATGATCAGTTCCAGGGTGCCGCATCCAACACAAATAAAAAAGAGAACTGCAGAAATTACGTATTGTATCATGGAAAAAAGTTGCACCATGAAACCATTGTTTATTTACCGTCAGGTAAACCATTAAAATCAACCCTTCTATCTTCTGTTACCGGGGGGGGGGGGGGGGGGTGAAGAAGAGATCTTGGAAGGAAGAGAATTATTCCTCCACACAACAGAGTTGCAGATTGAGTGGGAAGTAAAAGTGTAAAACAGCTCTGTCCAAAACCTCTACCTGGAATCCGAACTTGGAGGTTTGTGAAGTTTCAGGAATTCCACAAACAGCAGAAAATATCATCCATAGTTCTCCTAAAAACAATTTATTGAATAGAACTGTATAATAAAAGAGTTGACGACTTGATCAAGCAATTAAACGATTGAAAAGAAAAATACGCCAGAGAATTTAATTTTTGAGGTCAAATTAATTCCCCCTTTCCCATAACTTGTTTTGCCATGTTGTCAAGTCAAGTGTACAACAAACAATCGCAACTTAAATCGGGAAAAAGAACCAAAACAGTTTACCCACATCCAAAGTAAAAGGCTGAAAATAAGAAAAAAAAAAAAGACTGTACAAAGCCATCAAGTTACTAGAATGTTTGGTTTCTTGATTGTAAACAATAAGCTTAAGGCACATAGACAATTAGATTAAGAGAACCACAGACAACAAAAATTTTAAGGAAGAAAAAAAGATAAAAAACTTTAAGCAGTGAGCTATGAAGCACCTTCGCAGCAAAGTTGAATTGGTAGAACCAATATTAAAAAAACTCCCCTCTTCAGCACCTCCAAGCTGAAGCAGCAATTAGCTCTCTCCTCTGCCAGCAAAGAACAAGTGCAGACTGCCTCTTCTCCACATGAAAACCCTTAATTGGAGTCCGCTGAACCAAACACTCGGCTTGAGACTCGGTGAAATTACTGAAAGTCAATGGAAAGAATCCAGATTGTACAAACAGACTCCTCCAAGACGGTGTTCTTTCCGGGGACCGATGTCGACCCAAGACAATCTTCTCGATACCAGGTCGAAGCAAGAACCTTTCAATCTTTTGCAAGGCATCAAGATTCATATTCACAGCATCAAGGGACTCAAGGAGGCTAGAATAAGATTGAAGGGCATGGATTATATGGTGAGGAAATGAGACATCGGTTCTATCGCAGCCCCTGTCCAAAGAGACCACAATTTTGGGTGACAACTGCTTTACAAAACGAAGGACTAGAGGAAGGGTTGAAGGGTAATTAGAAAATGAACCAATTGGGAGATTAACTGCAATTGCTTCATTTTCAGGTAAGTGAAGAGGCAACGACCAAGAACTAGAATTCAAGAAGTCAAGACTCATTATTTCAAACTCGAAAGCAATGTTGATTTCGCTAGCAAAGTGCTTAAGATTATCTCGAGTGAAACCAAGTTCTAGCTCATCATGAGTGGATGGAGAAGCAAAGGCAGTGATTTTCAAAGAAGGGGCACCCCCATTTCTCAAAACAAGTTCCTGCATCAAAGAAGCCCATTGCCCACCATACGCAATATCGAAATCAATAATGTGAATTCTACTACACCCTTCAAATACCTCAAGAAGTGCTTGGTTGCAAGTAAAATTTGCAAACTGAACGATTGGAGAAATCTCAGAGAATGACTTGTAGGCACCAATCTTGAAAATCATGTTATATGTGGACAAAGCCCATGGGCTGGTAGTGTTCAAACGAAGGAGTAACGATAAGGCCTCCTTGAAGTAGAAAGCAGCCCTGATAAAGGGCTTACCTACAGGAGAGAGCTGGTGATTGAGCCGCGCCAATATCCCGTGCGCGAGTACCGGATTCCCGGTTTCGATCAGCTCTGAGGCCTGGATTAGTTGGTCGATTATCGCCTGCTGAAGCTGCTGGTTCGCCAATTCATCACTAACTATTTTCGGTTTCGCTGTTGCTGCCATTCCAATTGTTGTTGGCCTTTGCTGAAGCATTTGGAGCTGTTGTTGTTGGCGCCGAACATAAAGCTCCTGTCCTGAACCCGAAAATGGAAACTTATGGACCTGATAGTTTGGTCCACTTGAGCCAGAGTTAAGTCTCTTTTGTGGTGGTGGTGATAAAAGATGATGTTCTTGCAATTGAGCACATGAAAGTGGCAAGTGCATAGCCTGATTTTGAGTAAACTGAGCTTGATTTTGGTTTATTGTCACCTGTGGATTAAAAATCTGAGGCTTTTCATCCAAAGCTTCAAGGGGCTGAAGATGCTGCTGTTGTGAAAAGGCACCAGGAGGGAGTGAAGTAGGTAAAAGATTGGGTGGTGAAGATGTAAATACGGGATTTGTTGGGGTTGAAACCGTACCAAGTCTTGTAAAATCAGAGCTACTTCCAGTAAGAGGAGGGTCAATGTTGCTTACCAAATTGCCACCACTAGTAATGGACTCAAAGGTAAAACCTTGATCCACCACACCGAAACCTGCATTGAACAACTCCATATCTTGAGAGCCACCACCTGACTGAAGAATCTTGTTTAATCCTATAGAAGGGTCTTCAACATCACCCATAATTAACTTCAAAATGGATTGTTCTTGACTAGGAGACCCCGACAATACGCTCTCCCAATCCTCCATACCCAAACCACATTTTTCCGTTCCAAAATCTACGGATTGGCCGTTGTTATTCTTGCCAGAGACAGCCGTCGTTGCCGCCACGCCGGTGGTGTCCGTGGAGGCACCGCTGCCTCCGCCGCCGAGAGAGGAAGACAGTGTTGAGGAAGATGTTGGAGGACTTGGGCTTCTTCTAGTGTCAAGAACAGATGTGGGCTCACTACCTACATAGCAGCAACCTTCCTTGTTGTTTTGCCACTTTTCTTCTTCTTCTTCTTGTTGATGATGATGTTGGTTTTGAATTAAAAGTGATGAACCTGAGCAAGAAGAAGTAGAAGAAGAGAAATCTAACGCCCCCTTCCTTTGAAACTCCTCAGAGGGTAGGGGCATGGCCGCCTTCGTGTAAGAAAATCAAAAACAAAAGAACCTGAAAATAACCCAAGTACCCAAAACTCTCCAGTTTCCAATAATCAATAAACCACCACCCACCGGTTTCACAAAAAGGAAGAAACCAAAACAGAGATGGGTTAGTTTGAATATTACAAAGAAGAGGTTAAAAAAGAGACAAATTTCAACTGGAAGAACGACTAAAATTTTGGATGATAAGGCTTAACTCAAGAAAAAAAGGAGACCCATTTCCACCTTAGCTTCTTCTATTACTCGTGCTTTCTTTCTTTTAATTCACGGATGCTATTGGTACCTCGACATCCATTTTTGGTACCATCTTTTCCTTTCTTCGTGTTCTGTGCCTTTACTTTGCGGTTGGGTTTTTTTCTTTTCCTTTCTCGTCTCCTTGAGCCTTTGTAATAGTATTCTGCCTTCCGTCTATTTCTTGCTATGGATGCGTGCAACATATAAAAGTTGTTAAGTGCCCTTCAGCCTCTCTCTCTTTGTGTAATTTTTTTCTTTTCTTGATTTTTTTATATTATTGTTTATTTGTATATATTTTTTTGTGGCTTTTGTCTGCAGACGTGGTTATCTCCCTGGTGGAAGGGTTTCTGTCCGTCATTTCACCCCTACTCTCACCTCAAACGCGCGTGGAAAACAACTATTTCTCCATTTGCCCATTTTTCATTTTCCAATTTGGTTAAAATTCAAGCAAGCTTTCATTCTCGTCAAGCTTTTTTCATGCGCGTCAAATTTTGTTTTATATATCGTTTATTATTATTATTATTATTATTACCGACGAAACAGAGAAAAGGTAAAGTGGGGAAGAAGTTTTTTTTGTTATTTATTCAAATCCTTATAATACCCTTACCTTGCCGTAAAATTTTAGCTTTATTCCTCCAGCAAGGAGTGGTTTGAGTGGGGCATTTTAGGAATTTCATAGAAACAGATCCTGCTGGCCTGGTTTTCGAAACGGAATCTGATGACATGAGATAATGAAAGTGGCCTTTTTAGAGGGTTTTGAAAATATCGAGAGGATTTTAACGGTTGAGATATTTTCGCTGAGGTAAAACCGTGTGGCTGTGATTAAGAGTTTCTGTTGATTTTGCAGTCCAAGTCCTGAGTTAATGAGTTGGACTCTTGTGGACCAATGGGGTTGGGCGCGGCTCGTTTGCGTGAGACGTCGGTTTCTGGGTGCTGGTAGAAATGTAAATAGTCACAGAAATTATATGCAGCTTTGATCATTTTTAGGAAAGTGAAGGGCATAGTTGTCAATGTATTTTTACTATATACGTAGAAAATTGAGGGATTTAAGGAGTATTTAAGAAGCAATATTTCCTTGTTTCTTAAGATAATTAAATTAATGTCACATGATGGAACTAAAAGAGTAATACTTTGGATTAATTAATGAATTTAAAAGCAAATAAAATCAATTGTACAATGCTTTGAATCTAATTGACAATTAAGCCTTCATTAACTCATTTGCAATGAATTTTTGAATGCTTGAAATTAATTTAAATATAATTGAACTAACATTTAGTTGATTTTTTTTTTATTTTCTCTATATCTTGGCTTATTTTGTACTCTTTATTAATTTAGTCATTATTATTAAAGTTTTTTTAGATTAATGTTCAATAATTAAGAATTTTGAATTTATAAATATAATGGAAATTATAATTATAATTAATTATTAATTATTAACTAATCAAATAAATAAAATAAAATTTAACATGATAAATTCAATATAAAATTAAATTAAATTAAATTCATATAATAAAATTTTAACGTAAAACTTCGTGATTGTATTATTAAGATTTGATTGACTCTTGCACTAAAAAATTTATCTTAAAATAAAAAAATTTTTAAAAAATAAATTATTCACCTCATTGAACCCATTAAAAAATTAACTAGTCAGTCCAATTAATTTAGCTTGTGTCTGTTGCATCATGCAACATTTTTTTTTTATTATATCAAAAAGATAAAACTTTAATACAAGTAAAAAAAAAAATTAACAAATTTCTCAAACACCTTTTAACTATTAGACCATAAACTTGAGGATCATGCAACAATTAGATGTCGAGAGATACGGCCTTGGATTTTGCATCGTAATCAATAGCGACTAAGAAGCAAGGAATAATTATTGCCTCAACCTTGATATAGTAAGCTTAGACTGGATTTCATTGCTTGCCATTGTAAAAACACACGAAGAAACACAATATCTCTTCCAATAACTTGGTTTTCGATCATATTGTCGGCCAAGACCTGAAAAATCATGAAAAAAAAAAAAAAAAAGAGACCCATGCAACCAGCTCTGCGCCCATGCAATGCGTTACTGTCAGTCAAATCCTATCATTAAAAAAAAAAAAGGATGGGACGACATAAATTTAGAACAATTGGTAAAACCTTCTGAATGTTTCAACATTTTTCAGCCTTCTTTAATACAGTATATATATATATACACCCCTTGAAAGCGTCAAAGTTGCTATCGAATTTACTTTGTTTTTTATTTATTTCATCTCTTGAGACTGGGATGAATTTTGTGTATATTTGTTTTAAGGATTACTCGCTCAAAATCAATAATGTCATTTTCCTTGGAGCATATCCGTAAGTACTTCCCTGTGAGCCAATGATCATGATTCATAAAATTGGAAAGGGATGATAACATTCCCTTTTACCCTGTGATTCATCATCAATTTTGACTTTTTTTTTTTAATATCCATAAGTGATATAATTAATAAAATTCAAGCGAAGACGAGGAGCTTTTTCATATTAGTACAAAATTTGTACTTGCAACCCCTGCGAAACTATATGTATATGTATAAATGATGTGTATTTAAAAGGTTTAATTAATTTGTGTATTTAAGTGAAAATTTATTTATGAGATGATAATAATAATAATGAGAAATCCGTGAGCTTTACAGGGACTCTAGGGAGCAGGTATTTTGGCTGTCTTTGTCTAGACAAATTTGAGACTGGGTGTTAATATAGGGAGAGGAGACATTCAAGCCTAGTTTTGCCATGAATTGTCTGGGAAATCCATGATTTGGACATGTCGAGGAGGCATAGTTTATCACCGTCCTGACTACCACCATGTGATTGGTGACAACAACTCCACCTCGTCTCTCGTATGAAATAAAAAGTTATTTAAATTTTAAATTTTAATTTAATTAAATTATATTATTATTTTTAAAATATAACATTTAATAATTTTAAAATTTAAATTTTAACACTTATAATTTTTTTATTTTGTAAAAAAAAAAATCTTACTCAACTTTCTTTACGATTGAAAAAAATAATATATAAAATATATTTTATATGTAATAATAACAAGAAATTGTCAAACACATTGACAATTGAATTTTTTTTATTTTATAAATAAAGATAATAAGATAACAAATATTTTTAAAATATATTTAAAAATTAATTAAAAAATAAAACATATAGCATTTTAATAATAATAATAATAATAATAATAACCCGTTTGAAAGCTTTCTTCTTTCTTCTCCCTGTTAATTTTCTATTCTAATAACTTTCAAAAATTTTATCCCTCTCTTTACCTCTCACTCTTTCTATCTTTTTAATCTTTGCTGGCTTAAAAGGGCTGGTGATGACAAGTTCTTTTCTCTCTTCTCAAGACACCCCAAATCTCAAGCAACTGAAACAAAAAGATCTAGTCCAAGCCACCATTACAACCAAAGCTAAAGTCTAAAACAAGCGTTTTTTCAAGCTTTTCAAGTCGAAATCGCTTCCCCTTTGGATAATACAAACTTCTTAGCTTGTTTTGATTGATTGAAGAGAACTAATCATAATCATGACGTGAGACCCTCTACAAGGGCTCTACTTATCATAAATACATGCCCTTTTTTTTTTTTTTTTCTTATAGTGTTCTCTCTCAGATGTTAGGCAGGACATGATTAAAATACACATAAAAAATTGATTAATTATTCATTGGTCCGCATGGAAACGTTGAAGAAATGGTTAGCTTAGGTAAACATGGCCGACTCCGTGACACAAGCACCGCGAATTTAGATCACGGATTAATCAATTTTAACTACTTAAAACTCCAAGAAATAACATAAAACAAATGCATCCATGCATACATATAGCGAATATATATATACACACAAATTCACGATATTGTTTTTGTAACATGTCTTTGACTTTTCGTTTCGTTAGTCTGGTTGGTGACGAAGTCTTTCATCATGTTGCTGAACTATTATATATATACAAGTTTTGGCATTTGCTGTTCGATCGAGTAATTGAGTTGTGAGGGGCAATCAAGATTTGCTTATTCATTAAAGAAATTTGTTACCTTCTAAAGTTCAGCACGAAACCGCAATTCCGCAAGCATAATACTACATAAAATACTCAGAATTGAGCTAGGTGAAGCTGTGAAGGCTAAACACCTTTTTTTTTTGGGTGCAAACTATAAGTTTTTAGCTTTTAAATTATAATTTTATTTTATTTTACCGATTGCATTATATTAAGTGAAAAAAAGGGTAATAATTTCTAGATTAATATGCCAAAAAGATAAATGTATGTTTCTTGAAATATGATAATTTAAAATATTATAAAATAATATAAGATAAATATAATATAAAATTAAAATATAAAATAACACTATTTAAAATTTTAACAATAATTATATATGAATTTAATAAAATAAAAAAAATATTTTATGTTTTTATATTTAAATGAATTATAATATAAAATTTTTATATAAAATATAATATAAATATATAAATTTTAATATTTTATATTATATCAATATACAAATTATAGATCTACTATTATTATTATTATAGACTCGTAGGAATAGAAACAGGGTGTGGATGACTAACAGCTGCTTGCCCTTTTATGTCAAACGTTGTCGTGCCTCCAGCCTTGTGATCAAAGAAACCACGTGACCTTTAGAAAATCAGCAAATAAAACCAGGCAGAGGTGGACTCTAGGTCCATTCAACTTCATTGCTTTTCTCTTTTTTTCGTTTTTGTTAATAAAGAACATGGCTGATTTCGGACAAGACCTGAATATGAACATTTTTTCATTTTTCGCATGATACCAGCCCATGTGCATTTCTATTTTCACATTGTTTGAGCTAGGCCTAGGTGTAGCCGGCCTAGGTTTTGTTCCCTGTTAATTTCACTTCTAAAATTTGAGTCCAAAATTTCAGCCCAACATAGCGAGAGTGAAGAAAAACACATTCATTGTCCCTGCACATAACTAAACCAAGTTGTACACGCAAGCACCACTCATAATTTTAATCTGTTGTCAAGTTCCTAATTCACTAAACCTTACTAATATCTTTTTTGTTGGATCATTTAATTTTTACTTTTTACTTTCTAGCAGTAAAATTTTTAGGAAATAATCCCATATTTTCTTTGACCTCTCACGCTCATAAAAATTAAAAAATGTTATCAAAATTATATTAATTAGAGTATTTTTCGTATTTTCGTGTGGTTTTTTTTTTCTGTTATAATTACTAATTAAGGTACATTGTTGTCGTAACACAGTACTAATTCAATATTGATGCTGTCGTGGCAGTTCTTGGTTAGCCGCCTCCAACCGATTCGGAGGAGAGGCGCACCGCACCGTAGCAGAAGCCCAAACCTATTTTCAGATGAAGAGCTATCTGTCATCTCACTCCTATTTACGTCCTTTTTGTTTAGTCTCTTAAGACAACAGCTTAGGCCAAGTCGGTCGGTCCGTTGATTTCTCCATCAATCTATCTTTTTAATTCAATCCGTAAGTTTCCTTTCTTTTTTTCTGTTATTTCCAATCACTTGATTTATTGATTTTACTTTTGATATCTGCTGTAAAAAAAAAAAAATAAATATAATAATAAAAAAAGATTAAACCTTGCGTTGTTGTCGTGGGATTCCTCAAAATCGAATGGGTTCGTATGATGATGTTTCTGTTTTTCTGTGTTGAATTTGCGATGATCGGACTCTTGTTTTCCTTTTTTTTATTATATGAAATTAAAGAATTTGTTATCTTGATTTTGAATTTAGGTTCTTTAGATTTCGTGATTTTTGTTCAAGTAATGTCTAAAAATTGGGTATTAGTTGACTTGAGGGTTTGCTTGTTGTGCAGTGATATCTACAGAATGACTAAAAGCTGCTTCAAGATTGAGCATGATTTTGGTTTGTTATTGATGATCGTGTATTAGGATTAGATTTTTTTTTATCAATTTAGCTGTTGTTTGGTTGGTCTCATTAATTTATGGCTTCTTGATCTTCAGAGAAAAGGCGTGCTGAGGCTGCAAGAATTAGGGGAAAATACCCAGATAGAATTCCAGTAAGAATTAATCGTTAACCTTGTTTTTTTTAATAAAGTTTTGATTTTTTGTTGATGTTAAAGAATAATTTTGATTGTTCCATGGCTTGTCTACCCTTTCTTCCATTTATTGTTATGCATTTTAACCTTTTTAAGGTTGGGCGAGATTTTTTGCTAGGTATGAGTTTTGGTTCCATTTTATCGTGTAAATGATTTTGATTTGAACTAAGCATGCCCTTGTCGACCAAATAATTCAATTGGCTACGAACTAAGCATGCCTTTGTCGACCGAATAATTCAATTGGTTAAGTTACTGAGAAGTCTTTTTTTTGTTTGTAATAATATTGCTGAAACATGGTTCTTTCTTCATCTCTGAACTTAATGATTTTGACCCTAAATCAGGCTTGCATTGCCTTGACTTGTAGTACTGGTATAAATTTTGGTTTAAATATATGTTAATGGAAGACCACTGTGTATGAGTAAGACTTATGATGGTGTGTTTGCAGCACAATGATATCTATTGTATTAATGTCAGTTATATAATTTTTTAATGTATGTTCATGAGATGTGACTTGAGGATTATAAGCAATAGACGAAAATTGGTATTGGCAGGACTGTCGTTTCTGTCTAGATACTATTACAGAAATAGAAAAGATATCAAGTATTTTTGGTTTTGGCAAAACTGGTGCTCGTTCTGAGCTGGAGAAAAAGGAAAAGTTTTGCTCATTTGGGCATGGCTAAATTAGAACAGCTAATAGTCAGAAATAGAATGTGTGCTCTATACATTTCCTATTTTATAGCTTAATAAAGATTAAATCTGAGCCTCAGATACCCTGCCCCTCCGATGTGAGAAAATGAAAAAACCCCTTCAAAGATAGGAAGAAGAAGGAAAGCATGATACTCAAGAACCTAAAAGTGTAGGGTGGATGATTTGTTTATCCTTGAGTTATCAATAGAAAAGGACTTCATAATTAAACTGTGTAAGGTTAAATGGAGTCTGCTTAAATTGGTTAATGATTGTATGGCTTTTAATCCATGCATGATACAAAAGAGAAATTTATAAATTTGTGATATCCGAATCTTGCTTCTATTGATATTTGTTCATGTGCTTTTTAGGTGATCGTGGAGAAGGCAGAGAGAAGTGACATTCCTAACATTGACAAGAAGAAGTAAGCAACAGTTTCATGCCAAGTTTACTTAATGTTATGTTATCTTATTCACTGTTATCATCATTACTATTGATTAGCAACTGTTAGCTATGAAGTGTGTGGCTGCATTTTAAGTCCATTGATCAACACAATTTTGCAATCCCTTTTTTGGAACCCCTAATAGTACTGCATTTGCTTATTTTCTTTAGTACAATTGAAATATAGGTACAGATATTTCTATAATGACTTGATTACATAATTTACAGATACTTAGTCCCTGCTGACCTGACGGTGGGTCAGTTTGTTTATGTAATCCGGAAGAGAATTAAACTCAGTGCTGAAAAGGCTATCTTCATATTTGTGGACAGTGTTCTCCCACCAACGGGTATTTGAATTCACATATTTCTTTTCTCTTTGAATAATGTTAAATGCTAATATGTCACTTTTTCAAATTCAATCGTTTGACTAATTAGCTATGATCATATTACAGGAGCAATTATGTCAACCATCTATGATGAAAAGAAGGATGAGGATGGGTTTATGTATGTTACATACAGCGGGGAAAATACGTTTGGCTAGCAGATCAAGCAGTGACCTTATTTCCATGTTAATGTTGTCCTTTCATTAAATAATTAATAATTGTGGCATTATGCCTAATATATGACCTTTCTGTCTTTGTGTGTATAGTTTCTCTGTATGTAGCTTCTCAGCAGACTAAAATGTCGGACCAATGAGCAATTTAAAATTCATTGAACCGTGTTATATTATATTCCTGCATTTACCATTGTCATTTTGCACGATGATCTGTTGAATTGACAGAAGTTGACAATTTGGAAGTGTTTCATCTCGAATCATGAGCTTTTTTAATTTTCCATGTTTTACGGTTGCTTAAACATTTTCTAGTATTCAATAACCGTTTGTTCTTTTTTACTGTTTTGTTCCTTTAGTTATCTTAAGGTATGGCTCCCTCTGCTCTATTTGGTAAGTATTTCTTCCTTGCAAAAAGTCATCAATGTAATTATATGATAAAAGTAAAGTACTATCAGAACTGATAAGTTTAACATGGATGGTGTATAGAAGATTCAGACCAAGAACATATGGGATCAAAATGATTTCAGTCAGAAGCAACTCAAACTGACATAGATGAAAGGTTTACCAGGTGGTGGGCCGTAAGGGGTTACGGCAGAAATCTTACTTGTTGATCATATTGGAGGAATTATAAGATTTTAAAAAAAATATTCGTCTGAGACCACACGGGAGGTACCAGACAAGCCAAAATCAACTATGTAAAAGCAACTACGAGGTTAGAACTTGGAAATTGGAATGAATGCAGTTCTCTGACAGTAATGTATGAGCCAAGGGATGCGCAGAATGAATAATATTCAGCTAAAATTGCCGTGGAGACAACGAAGCCTGAGCCAACCGAGAATGCTTGACTTTTACGAAACATATCGATTCGAGCCGATTTGTCAACGTCCCTGCCCAAATCCCCATCCCTCTGGGAACCCGAGCCTGTCCCGCCGTCGCTCCCTCCAAAACCCAACAAGCATAAACATCCCCCACGAGACCACCAACCTTCAACTCCAAATGCATGATACAAACAAAACATCAATGCACAATGCATTCTTTCAGCAGGAGAATGTTTATCTGCAGGCCACGCCAAGAATTTATGTTAACGAGAGAGAAAGAGAGAGAGAGAATTGAACTTTATTAATGTTGGAACTTTTGGAGTAACTAATTAAATAAAAAAAGGATTCAAATTTCAAAATATCAATGTTTGGTTTTGTATTTTCATCAGGAATTCGTGAAATGTGAAGATTTGATATGTGTATCTCCCAGGAATTCTCAGCATGTTTCAATGTTTTGGGATGGCCAGCTTTGTTGCTAGAACGGAACCGGAGAACTTCAGTGTGTTAGACTGACTTGATAACCAACTACACCACCGGTTTCTGATGGCTCCTTAAGAAAGAAATTGTGTTTGTGGACCAGGACCAGGGGAGGGCCTTTGGAGGAAGGAATGGATTTCGGCGGCCATGGAATTGGTGGGTCCACGTGGCAATTGAATGAATCACATGGGTTCGTTCCACGTGTCATGATGGCCGGTATTGACGGTTAAGGGGACGCTTTTAGTGTTTCGCGCAACATGAACAAAGAGATGGTGGTCCATGTACCCATGTCTCCTTTCTAGTTTCACCTATGGTCCTACCGCTCCACACATTTTTTTCTTGAGGCACCAATGTTCATTTTTTGGACCCACCTCCTAATTGCAAATGCTTCAACAATGTACACCCAAACCCAATCTAATCCTTTTCTTGCTAGCTAGCTAGCCATCGTTGGAGCCTGGAGGGCCGCCATGTGCAATCACATCTTTTACAGGCTCAAGTCATTTCATTTTGTTTACAGTAACATTGATTGTAAATCTGATTAATATTTCATGCGAAATTTGAATGATAGATCATTAGTTTTTACATACAATCATTTTCTTTCGTTAATCCTACACTGAAATCATTAGTTTACATGGTAATTCTACAATCAAATAATTGCATATGTTTGAATGCCACAATTTTGCAGGCACCATTTTATAGTTGTTAATGAACTCATTTGTGACTGGTAATAAAAAAGAACTTCTCTTCCACTATCATGTCACGAAACATAGAGACTTAAAAAGATATTTTTTGCAGGAATATATTGGTCTGGTGCTTGCCATGGCAACTTCAGATATATTGCTTCATGCTTGTGAATTAATTTCTCAACCGTGAGTTCAAATATCATTCATCGAAAAAGAACCCGAAGACTTGTTAGTATATTATAATATATTTATACAATATTATATTTCCCATTTTTGGTTTTCTATAGGGTATAAGGGACATTCAGTCATTAATTAATTGCAGCATTCTCGAAGATCTTTGTTGTCTACCGACTACCGACTTAGATCTAAAAAGGCTTCCCACTTTTTAGTTTTAGCATTAGAATATTCAGTTTAAGTATTTCGAGACCAAATGGTGGGCAAAGGTAATTAACTAGAAACGCACAATCCATGCAAGTAGTGAAACTTTCTCATACAAGGACATGGGGGGTTAATTGCAGTCCCTCATAAGACGCAATTAGCAAGGCACGCATTAGCTTTCTTGAATTTCGGTCTTATTTCTCATTTTCCCTTTACATTTTTCCTTGCAATATCCTTGATTTATTTAAGATATTTCAATAGAAAATCTCTCTTTTGGACACTGTTTCATCATAATTCGCATATATAATTTCCAAAGAAAGGTCTGTGTTGTTTCTCTTTTCCCTGGTGGGAGGGAGGTCTGTGTCTTGGGACCCAATTGATTGAAATGTGAAAGAGAAGGACATAGGGGAGGCCACCCATATCTCATTTCCTTTTTACCTCTTACCCATACATCTGCATGTTCTAACAAAACTCCTCTTCAATCTACCAGGATACCTACATTTAATGCCCTTACTACATATACCACCATAAGCTATACTTCTGCACTGCCACTAATATTTCCCAACACTGCAAAGAATTTTCCTTGCTTTCTTCAATCTATTCAGCAGAGTACTCTTCCCAGTTATTTTTCCTTAACATGTCAATCATATCTTGTTTTCTTCTTTTCCTTCTATGCTTTTCTCTGCATGAATGTAGTGCTCGTCGCCTTGGTGCAGTTGACAATAAGAATAAGCTTGAAAAGAAACTTCACTTCTCCATCAAGGTTGGTCCAAGATTCAATTTATCATTGTCATCGATGATAATCATCTAGCTTTTAATTTAGTTATTTTGTTATATATAGTGCGTATTATTTAACTCTCTTTTGGTGTCTTTTGTTTGCAGAATGACATGAAGAACGGTTTCAAAAAGAACTCATCAGTTGCAGTACTACAGGCGAAATCTTCCTCGTCCAAGGAACTCCGATCCGTAAAAGAAGAAAGCATCGAGGAATCTCATGCAGATGATGGTACTCGAAAGCTGGAAGATGCTGAGGTCAATGAGAAAGAAAAAACTCCAGTTGCGATGCAAACAAACAAGTCGGTTGTTTCAGTTTCTTGGCCGGTACCTCATAGGAAACACGGCGAAAAACATCCTGGTTTTAACCTGGATTACTCTCCACCAAAGACACATCCTCCATCTCACAACTGAGATCAACAATTAATCTTCTTTTTATCAGTCCAGAGAGTCCCGCAAAGAAAGCTAGCCACCAGCATTTTAAAATATAGAGCCTCAAAATCTTAGGGCTCATATGTTCATCTTTCCAGCATAGGCATAACAAGTAATATATATGACTATATAACATAGTCTGATGGATTAAAATGGGTTACAAGGCCTTTTTTCCCCTCTATAATTTAGTGTACATTGATCATGGATCATATATATGTTTCTCAGAGGGAAATATTGCTGTTTCATTAATCTTTTCATATGATAACTACTACTATATCCTTCTCCATTCTTTTTCTTTCTTTTGTTAATCAAGTCATGTGTGGAGATTGATGCAATAGCACTACTAGATGTAAGTCAAAATATTACACCACTCTTTAAATTAGGTTTGGCGAAGTATCTTTAAATGGTCTTGGCCAAAAAAAGAAATATCTTTAATTGGCAGTTTATGTGAATGAAACAGCGTTGATAACCAAACAATTGAGCTAACCAGCAAGTATGTTACCTGAAAACCTGAATGATGAAGTTGTAAAGGCAAAAACCTGAAATGGTGACGAAATTGGCTATCTATGCATGCAATAAAAAGCAAGCATTATGATTTCCTATACTTCTCCATATTGATGTGTAGACACCCAATTTGTCCAATTAATTTGGTCTGATCCAAATGGGTAAGCTCATTTTGTATTTTTATTTTATTTTATTTATTATTATTATTTATTAATATATATTTTTTATTATTTATTTATTAATTATTAATATGCATTTTTTTTATTTTATATTGATTGATTTTCGGTTAGGATTAGGATCAGAAAAAATTGGATTTGGCCTTGAAATTAGAGGCTGGCAAAATTGAGATTGGATTCAAAGATTGAATCCAAATCCCAAAAGAAGTTGGGATTGATCAAAAACTCTTCTAATCAATCCCTATAAATAGATCCACAAAGAGCACACAGGAAAAAAATACACAGAGAGGAAACAGAGGCTAAAAAAGGTTCTGGTGCGTTAGAAACAACTTTAGGAATTTGTGAGAAATTTTTTCAGAATCCGACAAAATTTTTATGCAAGATTCAAGTTTTCTGACAAGATTTCAGGCTAACTTTGAAGTTTTCGACCTGTTTTTTCAGATTTTGACAGACATTCAACCGAAATCTGGATTCTGTTTAGAGAGAAGAAGGAGAAAAAAAAAGAGAGAGAAAGGAAAGGAAGCAATATGCGAAAAAATAGAGGTTTGAGCCTTTTATACCTGTCGAAAATGACGTCATTTTAACCTTACTATTCCTAGAGGATTTGCGCGTTTTGAAATTAGGCGACCCGACCCGAGCGCCAACCTGAACAGCGACCCACGTCTCTGCCTAGACCCTAAGAGCCGCACGTTTAAACTACTTCTGTCTCTCAAGCCGAGCCGCATTAAGTCGAGCCAAGCCGAGCCGTTCCAAAGGTTTTTTTTTTCTTTATTATTATTTTTTATTAATTAGATTAGAATAATTTGATATTCTTTATTTTATTTTTCTTTTTAATGATTTTCTTAAAATAAAATTCTAAAAAAAATATTTTTGAGGAAAAGTTAAAAGTATCAATTTTTCTTGAAAATAAGTTTTCTAAAAAATATTTTCGAGGAAAAGTTGAAAGTATCAATTTTTCTTGAAAATAATTTTTTAAAAAATATTTTTGAGGAAAAGGTAAAAGTATCAATTTTTCTTA